AAAAGGAGAGAGAGAGAGAACAAAATGGAATGCCCTGCCCCAGAGGCAGGGTGGGATGGGGGATTGGGCGGTGGGAGGGACGCTGGGACCCATGGTGGTGGAGGATGGGCGCTGGTGGAGGGATTGGTACTTGATCACTGTATAACTGAAACCCAAACACAAAAATTTGTAAGTCTATAACTGTACCTCATGGTGTTTAACTAATAAAAAAAAATAATTAAAAAAACGGGAAAGATGAATAATAGACATTCCCCTCAAGAGGACATGTGGTCAGGCAACACACTCAGAAAACAGTGTTCTTTGTCTTCTTTTATCAAATGCAAATCAAAAAAATATTACAATATCATCTCTCACTAGTGAGAGTGTCACATATCAAAAAAGTTTGGAGGTAGGATACTGCTGGCAGGTTGTAGTGCCAGAGGAATCCACATTCACTATTGGTGAAAATGTTCTCTGGCTCAAATATATATATATATATATATATATATATATATATATATAGGTAAAGGTAAGGTAAAGGCCCTCCCGTTGATCGTCGATTTGCTCGAGCGGGCCCAGTAACGTCTCCATTGGAGACTTTTGTTGTTACTGTGTCTGGCATAGCGAATACTCTCGGTAGCTTGCCGGGCTCTCCGAGAGGGGCGGAGGAATCGAACTCGGGTCGGCCATGTTGGCCGCTTGTAAGGCGAACGCCCTACCGCTATGCTATCGCTCCAGCCCATATATATATATATATATATGTATATATATATATATACATATATATATATATATATATATTTGTTTAAAAAGCAAAAAAACATGTTCTCTGGCTCAGGCACAAGAGAAACACTATGAAGACTTTTTAAAAATAAAGAATAAAGACCTAAGTGAGAGAATACAGGAATTAAGGCTCTGACCCCGTATATAGCTGATGCCAATCCAATCCCTGGCTCTACATATAGTTCCTCTGAGCACCACCAGACTCATCTCAGAGTACTTTGGGGAGTGCCCCCCCACTGTACCTGAGCCACTACAGGGTCCACAGCGGACCCACAGAATTTCCCCATGGCACAGAGTGGTGGATCCCAGCTGACAACTCTCCCTCTGGCCATCAGTGGTTCCTGTGCTGTCCTGAGCACTGAGTCCTGCAGAGGGAAAGTGAGGAGGAAGCAGAGAGAGCAGAGAGAGGGGAAGGGGCTGGGGTGGGCCTGTGCCTGATGCCCAGAGCCCTGTCCTGGCCATGCTCGCTTCCACACATCCTCCTGGGCTGCTTCAAACAATCAGGGACCTAGAAGAGCAAAGATAAGCTGACCAGGAAGAATCCTGGATACCCCTGGGCCTTTGTGGCAAAAGTGCCAAGATCTGAAGTCAGAGTCTGGGAGCTGAGCTGTGGTTCCTGCTTAGACTCAAACTGAGGACACAGAAGAGTTTCCCGGTTATGACTTGTCCTCCCTCTTACTGTTCGAGAGGGTCTTCAAGTACCTGTCCCCTAACTTGAGGGCAAGCTCAGTAGGAAACACACTGGCAAGATCTTTCTTTCATTTCCTGCCCCTATCCTACATGGCTCCACCCCCCCCACATACATGGCTCCGCCCCACCCCACACCCACCACCCACCCCCACTGGTTTCCTTTCTGCTTTTAATTCAGTGGGAGTGAACTTCCTTGCCAGACCTGAGTGAATCTCAGCTACAGAGGAGACATCAGGGCAGTAGCTTGTGCTGTCTGCTCTGTGGAGAAGGTACTGACAGTCCAGGCTGCATTTTTCTCTGTGTGTGTGTGTGTGTGTGTGTGTGTGTGTGTGTGTGTGTGTGTCTGTGTCTGTGTCTGTGTCTGTGTGGTGGGTCAGGGTTGGACTTTGCTTTCTTGTTCTCTTCACCTTTTGCTTTCACTTTCAGGTGACTCCACTTCTCCTCTCAGGGATGTGAAGCCCATGAAGGCCCCATAGTCACCCCTCAGGGCTCAGAGGACAGGAGAGTTTTCTCCCCAGACCATAGTATCCCTCAGAGGTAAGTCACAGGCCTTTGATGAAAGTTTCTACAGGAGACTCTCCTGTCTCCAAGGGAAGAGCCCTATGATTAGAGAGAAACTGGCTTTCTAGTAACTTCAGTTGAATCCTGCTTTTCATCTTAGTACTGTGTGTTGGAGGTAAATTTTGTTGTTATGCTTTATCCTTCCTTTACTTCCCTCCCCTCCAACTCTCCACAGTGGGATTGGGGCACATGCCCAGATCCAAAAGCAGCTGCAGCCTTGGGAGCGGGACATAGTTGAGCTCCTGACCCAGCTCCCCTGTGAGGTCCTCCCTTGTGGACTCTGGGGGACCAGCAGCCAGTGTAACCACAGACTAGGCCTTTCCCATTGCTCCACACCTCACTACATCCTGGAGCTGCCAACATTCTCTCTTCTGGTCACCCTGAACCTCTGGAGGACACTGAGTCACCTTCTGATTCTCCAGGAGCTCTGCTCACAGCCAGACCACCCGTTCTCCTGACTGCTCTTTGAATTCTTGTTCTGTCAGTTCAGGAAGGGTAACCTGAAAGGACACACTATCCCTCTGCTTGCCTTGCTGACTACTTCATTCTGGGGGATCTCAGATGACCATCTCTGTCCTCTACATAAAGAACATCAAAAGGACTTGACTCTTCCAACCACCGACATGCGGTCACTAATCTGATCTGCAGCTCCGGTGAGAGAGTAAGTGCAGCCAGTGACCAAACCGGTGAGTCCTCCCCCAGGACTGCCCAGTGAAGGGGAAAGGAAGAGTCACCGTTGATCTACAATGAGAGGCTTCCAGTGGGGAGATCAAGGTAAAACTGAAATAGGATGTTTCTTCAGTACAAGAAAAAAAAAAAAGAAACCTTGATGTATTCACTCTGTGCTATTAACTTCTATGATGAAACAATTTCAAGTATTCCTAATAGCTTTTGTTAACAGGATTTTTCACATTTTTTATTAGAATTCGTATTTTGAAAAGTACATTTTCATGTAAAAAATCTTTTTTATCTTGTTTGACTTAACTGATGACAGAACCTGATCAAATGAGGTTAAGGAGAAGCAACATTATAACTAGAAAATGCCACATTATGACTCGAAAATTCCTCATCAAATAGCCAAAGCAATCCTAGGGGGAAAAAAATAGAGTGCTTCGCTTTCTGCAATTTCATCCATTTCTATTAAGCTTTATTAGTTAAAAGTGTGGTGCTGGAATAATAACAGACTCTCAGTCTCAGATCAATTGAATAGAAATTAGAATCCAGAGAGAGATCATCAGACATATAGAAAATTAATCTTCAATAAATAAAGAAAAACAAGAAGTGGAGTAAGGAACACCTCTTCAACAAGTGGTGATGGAAAAACTAGTCAATTACAGTCAAAATAATAACAATAAAAATAAAAATAAGTATACACTTTCCTAACACCATGCACAAAATTCAAAACAAAACTGATTAAAGACCTCTATCTCTGACCCATATTCATAAGTTATATTGAGAAAAATAGGTAAAACTGTGTACTACTTTGAAACTAGACTTCACTTTAAGAATCCAATGCCAACGGCAAAGTAAACAGAAGCAAAGATAAACAAATGCGATTACGTCAAACTCAGAACTTCTGTACCTCAAAAGAAACGATGGCCAGAATAAAAAGATACCCTGCCCTTCATCAGAGTGTGCATAGTCCTCTACATGGGTTCAGGGTTTCTCTCCTCTACACGAAGCCTTATATTCTCCATTAGAGTGAGAGATGAGAAAAAGGGGTTCTGGAAGGACAGTAAAGCTAAAGAGTCAGCTCTGTGACTTGGTCTGGCTTGCCGTCATGGAGACCAAGATGATCAGACTCCCATAGCTTCAGTTGGAATGGAAGGGTGGGAGCTTGCAGCTGTCTTGGTCAAGAGCAAGGTGGAAGGGTCTGGACAGTCCCCTTTGGTGTCAGTATGGTCCCTTGTCCAGTTGCCCATCTTGTCACTCTCCTTTGTGAGATCCAAGGCTTCTTGGGGCATTCAGGACACTCTCACTTCCAGCAATCAAGTTTGCCACAATGAAAGCAGAAAGTTTTGGGTGGAGAGGACTTCCGGGCACTCCTGTGGAGCTGGCCAGGCTTAAGAGTGGTCAGAAGCTGGGAGTACCTTTAGTCTTCTTTACTTTGATCTTTTGTCTCTCTTGTGACCCCTTTCTGTCATCTTTGCTTATCCTGGTAATAATAATGAGAGGAAATTGCTCTAATTCGGACACAGTAAGTTTCTGACTCTTCTGATATTTTTTCCCTCAATCTCTAGTTGGTTTATGGAAGAGGCAAGAATTCTGAGACTATTAGTGTATTGGAGGGTGAAAAATATTAGTCTATAAGGTATCTCTGCCTCCTCCTTAGATCATTTACAAAAGAAATAGAATGGCTGGATGGTATTGTAATAAATGGAACATCCCTTTGACCAAATCTCCTCATTCTTTAAATTATATTTGGGTTAAACCTTCTCACAGAGAAAAACAGTACCAACTATCCTATCTCTCCCATACCCAGATTTTTCTTTTATGCATTACTTAGAATGCTTTTATTCTCAAAAACAATTCCACTAAAACTGGTTCAGGACAACAGACACAGTCTTAGTCATTTAAAAAAAAACTTGCAGGGTTGGCATGTGAGTTAGGCTAAGTTATCTTCACTCCAGAAGATATTCTCTATGAGTCTAAAGAGATAGTTCTTATAGTTAGACAAAGATGCTTTAACATGTAACTTTAGTTTAAAAAACACCATTAGTGATTGAGATATTACTGTCAGGTCAAAAAAGCATTTGTTTCGTACCTCATCCTGCCTCTATTTCCTCCCCACAAACAGTCAACATTGAAAATAGAGAAAAGATCCTCCCAAAGTTGTAACTATCTATATGGATGAAGGACAAAGTCCTGTGTTTCCTATTGGTCCCCGTGTTTCCATGTTAGGAACTCACTGGTGGACACCAAGGGTCATAATGCCAGGATCCACAGAAGCCTGTCATTCCTATCTGTTCTCACTGCTGACTTCCAGGTTTCTTCCATGACGATGGGCTCTAGTCATTCTGATCTTCCGGGAGACCAGGTTGTCCTGAAGAAGTGACAGTCACCTCTCTGTTTCTCAAGAACTCTGCTCTGAAGATAACCCCTTCTCCTCCCACCTCTTTCAATTCTCTGTCTTCAGGTCAGAGAGGCTTATGGGAAGGGCACACAGCTTCTTTAGGGTGTCAGTTGACCTTATTATCATTTGGAGCCTGGGTCTTTTTACCCATACTTTTTTATCATTATTTGCCATGGAAGTAAGTAGCAAGAACTGTGAACTAATGATCCAGTGCAGACAATTTTTTTTTTATGAATCCTATAAACTCTACCTAATTGCAATATCAGTTACAAGGAAATAAAGTAGTAGTGATGAGCTACCTTTTCACAGAATGGGAGTCTCACCCTCATTCCATGAGTTTCTCTTTCTTGCTCCATCCTTTCTGAGGGAGCCTGTCTTTTTCTCACTCTCACTGAGTCCCATGTCCAAAATATTTCTAGAAATGAAATGGAATCTTTGATCTGGTCTCATTTCACCACAGACTCAAGCAAATAATAAACAACTGAAATGCAATAATAGCAGTTAGATTCAAGGAATTAACATTAAATTTTATTTTATTTTATTTTAATTATACTCAGGGCTATAGTGATAGCACAGCAGGTAGGGTGTTTGCCTTGCACACAGCTGACCCAAGTTCGATTCCTCCGTCCCTCTCGGAGAGCGCAGCAAGCTATGGAGAGTATCCTGCCTGCATGGCAGAGCCTAGCAAGTTCCCCATGGCATAGTTGATATGCTAAAAACAGTAACAAGTCTCAAAATGGAGACGTTACTGGTGCCTGCTTGAGCAAATCAATGAACAACAAGACAACAGTGCTACAGTGCTTAATTATACTAAGTTTAATGGACCAAGTGTGATTGTGCCACAGTCATTCACAACACAGCTCCATAAAATAAATCTTCTCAATCCCAATCCATATCTCTCTCAGACAGATTTCAAGCTCAGAGGAGTCCCATAAACTCTAGTGGAGTGCATTTCTCAGACACTAGAAATTTCTGACTGCTTCATCCCTGCCTCTTGATCCAATATCGCAGCATTTCCAGGAAAGCCATGGCCTCAGCTACATTTATCAAGAAGTTGAGGGTGGAAGCTACCTGCCCCATCTGCCTGAAGCTGATGACTGAGCCTGTGAGCATTGACTGTGGGCACAGCTACTGCTGTGTATGCATAAAGGTTCTTACTCAGAATCAAAGCTCTGAAACATCATCTCCGGGAACATTTAATTGTCCCAAGTGTCGGAAACCTTTTCAAAGTGGTAGTCTCCGGCCCAACAAGCAGCTGAAAGGTATTATCGAAATCTTTAAGGAAATGAATCAGAACATGTGTAATGAACACGGAGAGCAGTTCCATCTGTTCTGTGAAAATGATGGTCAGCTCATCTGCTGGTGCTGTGAGCGGTCACCACAGCACAAAGGACACGGCACTGCTCCTGTTGAAGTTGCATGCCAAGTTTACAGGGTGAGTGTGGGGTCCAGAAAGCCTCCGAATAACCTCATCTGCAGTTGCTCTGGAATCTGTTTTATTTATTTGACAGAAATTATTTTCACTGTAGTATATGCTTCAGATGTGCTCTCTCACTTGCTGCAAAAGTGACTTGTCACAACATCCACACTAAAAAATGCTGAACTCCATCTGCCTCTATCCACTGATCAACTCCACCATCTAACTCCTCAAGGCATTTTTTGGTGCCTGTTAGCAATCTGTATGTCTTTTGTAGAGTAATCTGTATTTTAGGGTCAGAGAGATAGTACAGAAAGGAAGGTATCATTTTTCCTTACTCCAGTTCAAATCCCAGATATGTCACATGGTTCCCCAAGCACCACCAGAAGTGTGAACCAGGAGAATGCTCTGAACACTTATAAGTGGTGTCTGCAACAGTAGCAAAAGGGAGTAATCTGCCTTCACTTCTGTCCTTTTCAATGTTCTTCTTGGCAATGGTACTTGGAGTACTTTATGATTTTTTTTACAAATCTTGCTTATTAACATCTTGTTAGATATGGAGGTATGATAGTTTCTCCTTGTATGTTTTTGTTTCACTGACATTTTCTTTACCTTGGAGAAGTTTCTCTTTGATTCCACATACTCTCAAGTAATTTTTGCTTGTTTTTGTTTCCCTAGTTATTGAAATCAACTCTTCAAAGTTAATGTTGAAGCCGTGTTTGAATATTTTTATGTACTTTCCTCTTTGTGTTTTATGGCTTTAAGTTTTTAGTAAATTTTCAGGTAATTTTTGTATATGGTGTTAGGAGCAGTCATTTCTGGGTTTTGTAAATGGATATCTAATTTCCCCATCACTGTTTGTTGAAGAGACTTTCCTCTCTCCATTATATATGCCAGTATTATTGTTTATCACAATTGACCGTATTGTATGGCTTTATTTCTGGGTTCTTGGTTTTATTCCATTTATATGAGTGTATATGTCTGTGCATATTTTTTCTAATATTGTGTAATCTTAATGATCTTAGCCTTATAATATTGTTTTAGTTGGGAACAAGTATTTCCTATGTATCTTTCCTCAGAACTCCTTTGGCTATTTAGGGTATTTTGTGATTCTTACAAATTTTAGTTAATTTTTTTGGTGTCTTTGACACAGCTACTATAACTTTTATAGGTATTGTATAGAATCTTTGAATTACTTTGAGTAAGGTGGCCAGTTTAACAATGTTAATTTTTCCTATAGGTATATAGTAACATCTTTATATTTTTACCTCCTCTTATTTCTTAGATCAATGTATTAATAGACCTTACACAGGTCCTTGACCTCTTTTATTATGTTTATTCCTTGTTTCCATCTTTCTAAAGTACTTGATTTTGTGGCCACACCTGGTAACGCTCAGGGTTACTCCTGGCTTTTACATTCAGAATTACTCTTGATGGTTCTCAGAGAACCTTACAGGATACCAGAAATCAAATTCAGAGCAGCTGTGTAGGGGATGAGCACCCTACCAGCCCTAATTCCTTCAGGTGCAAAAGAAGTTTTTTTAAAGCTTCTCACAATACAGGTTTCAAAGCTATAAATTCCCTAAGTTGTTGTCTATCCATGAAGCTCTTATAGTTCGTTCAAATATGTGTGATAATCTAAGTGGATAAAGCAATCTTGGGTAAGTATTCATTTCACTGAGGTTTTGTACTATGTCCCTCCATTCTCTTCTGTCTCGTAGTCACGTTTCAAACATCGGTTGTAAGTCTTAAGGGCTTTCGATTCTACATAAGTTGCTTTTTTGATCTTGTTGATTTCAATATTCTGTCTCTAATTGTGGATTTTATCATTTTGAGGATCTAGTTTTCCTTGTTGAGAATATTTTCTTATCCATTGCCATTCTGGAGGATGTGATGGATCCATCAGGAGGTCGGAGGGCAGTCATCTTGGTCTTGTACTTGGCGAAGGACAGGCGGGCGTTACGAATACTTTTCCTGGCTTCTGCTGCATCTACCAGTACTTCTGCTCTTCTCTCTTTGAGGTCTTCCTTGATTGCATCTCTGCACTGCTTTGCATGCTCGGATGTTAGCTGGCAGTTGCCTGAGGCATGCGCCAAACCACGCTGGCGAATTAGCTCAAGAGTTTTCGAAGATTGGAGATTTTTTGTGGCTATCTCTCTCTTGGCGTTCCTCGCACATTCATGGAGGTGCTGAACCAGTTGATCGTATTCCTCGTCAATGTTGTCAACAATGGCATCTTCCCATGTTGCCGCAATAGTACCAAAGAGTTCCCAGTTGGTGGTCGTTCAGGGAGTTCTCTTTTTGAACTTTGCAGCCCTTTCTCCCTGCTCTGTGAAGTAGAATTTTGCACGAAGGAGACAGTGGTCCGATCCCGTTCGGAATTTTGGGACAACAGCGACATCGGTCAGGTAAAACCGTCGATTGAATATGATGTGGTCTATTTTGTTGTGGAATCGTCCACCGGGAGACTCCCATGTCCATCGTTTAGATTCTGCCTTCTGGAACTGTGAGTTACCATGGATGGTCTTGGTCGACATGATGAACTCAGACAGTCTCTCACCCTGTTCGTTCCATTCTAGGCCATGGGTCCCAATGTGAAGTTCTTCAGCTGATATTCTCGGTCCTATCTTGGCATTAAAATCACCCACAATGATTTTGTAGAAGGTGTGGTCTTCTTTATAGAACTTCTCCAGATCCATGTAGAACTTCTCAATTTCTCCTTCATCATAATTGGATCTTGGTGTGTAGACAACGAAGATAGAAACTGCAGGCAGTGAGCCGCATCTATTCAAATGTAAACGTCCGATTTGGGTTGTTAGGCATTCGAATGAATCAATGCTCTTGGCCAAGTTTGTGTTGACGAGGACACCGACGCCTCCGACACCTCTTTTATCGCATGTTCCGAGGAATAATTCTTCTCCAGTGTCGAAAACAGCATGGTGAGATTCATGCCTTCTTGTCTTGGTCAGACCAATGATGTCGTACTTGATCATTCGCGCTTGTACCATCAGGTCCTCGATGGATGCATCTGATGCTAGTGTACGTGCATTGAAAGTACAGACGATCATTTTTGTCTTCTTTCGTTGTGGCATCCTTGGTCGGCCTTGAGATTTTGTCGGCCTCTCCTTTCTCATCCTTCTCAGTGCTGCCATGAAGCCTTCAGGGTCAGGTGAATGAGACCAGTTGTAGTTACTGGTTTTGGCATATCAAATACACAACAAATAGCTTGCCAGGCTCTTCCATGTGGGCGGAATACTCTCGTTAGCTTGCCAGTCTTTCTGAGAGGGATAGAGGCTTTTGGGGCGACCTCTGATCACCCTTGTAGGTGTTACCATATTTGAACCCTATCAAATATGGTGCGACTATTCCGGAAGATGGGTATTTAGTGTCTTATGATGTGTCATAAGCGAAGCGGCCGCGCGGGTCCGGAAAGCGTCCTGGAGTGTGGCGACGGCTGGGTAGTGGAGGTAGTCCATGACTTCTACTCAAATCTCTTCGATAGCCATGTCCACTTGCCGACATACCAAATTCCACAGGATGGATATGTCGTTCCCAACGTCCTCCCTTCTGAAATCCGACACGCCATTTCGTTGGTAAAGAAACAAACAGCACCTGTCCCAGACAAGGTCAGACCTGAACACCTGAAAAACCTGCCGTCAGTACTCATCAATACACTGGCTCGGCTCTTCACTCGCTACCTGTCTGAATGCAAGGTTCCATCCCAATGGAAAACCAGCAGGACCGTACTACTGTTCAAGATGGGAGACATCCATGACATTGACAACTATCACCCGATCTGCCTATTGTCTGTCATCTACAAGTTGTTCACTCGAGTCATCCTAAATAGGATTGGCAGAACACTAGATGAAGGACAACCATGCGAACAAGCCGGGTTCCGCAAAGGATTCAGCACCATCGACCATATCCACATGATAACCAAGCTCATTGAGGTTTCTCGGGAGTTCAAGATGCGCTCTGTTTAACATTCATTGATTTAAAGAAGGCCTTTGATTCTGTTGAGACGGAAGCGGTCATTGAAGCCCTAGCCAGTCAGGGAATTCAAGCCCAATACATCAGGATGCTCCGTGAGCTGTATTGTGGATTCACTACCAGGATCTCACCATTCTACAAAGAAGTGATCGTTGATGTCAAGAGAGGGGTGCAGCAGGGTAATACCATTTCACCGAAACTCTTCAGTGCCACCCTCGAGAACATCATGCGACAACTGGAATGGGAAGGAATGGGAGTGAAGATAGATGGTCGGCAACTACACCACCTCCGCTTTGCTGATGACATTGTTTTAATAACACCAAACATCAGCCAAGCGGCACAAATGCTGGCTGACTTTGACCATGAGTGTGGAAAGGCAGGACTACAGCTGAATCTTACGAAGACAATGTTCATGAGAAACAGCCTCGTTCCTGATGCCCCATTCGCTCTCAACGGAACGACCATCTCCGAATGCAACAGCTATGTGTACCTAGGTCGAGAAGTCAACATGACAAATGACCTGGCACCCGAGCTGCGTAGAAGGAAGAAAGCGGCTTGGAACGCCTTCAAGAATGTTGAAGAAATAGCTAAGAGGACAAAGAACCTCCATCTCCGGGCACATCTCTTTGATTCCACTGTTCTTCCTGCATTAACATATGCCTCAGAGACCTGGGCCCTATGCAAACAAGATGAGAACGCTATTCAGGTCTCCCAAAGAAGAATAGAAAGAGCTATGCTTGGAATATCATGTTTCACTCGAATGAGAGAAAGAATCTGGAGTTCTGACATCCGTCGACGATCAAGAATCAGGGACGCTGTCTCTTTTGCCAAGGTGTCAAAAATCAGATGGGCTGGTCACGTAATGAGATTTAAAGACGACCACTGGACTAGAGCTGTTACTGACTGGATTCCACGGGATGTCAAAAGACTGCGTGGCCGCCCACCTACCAGATGGTCAGACTTCTTCGTCAAGATCATGAATGATCGGTTTGAGGCTCTTCATGTTGCCAGAGCAAACAGATGCCATGGGCTACACTAGCATGCGACAGGGACAAATGGAGATCTTACTGGTGCCCGTTCGAGCAAATCGATGACTAACATGAAATTAAGTGATTAAGTGATTAAGTGAGAATATTTTCATAGGGAACCTTCAGGCCTCTTGGATTTCAGTGCCTGTATTCCTCTACTCTAAGAAATTCCTATTAATGATTTCTTTACCTAATGTTTATTCATAAAATTTCCTTTTCTATTCTTCAGCAACTATGATGATTCATATATTCTTCCACAGCGGTAGGGCGCTTGCCTTGCACTCAGCCAACATGACCAACTCGAGTTCGATTCCTCCGCTCTTCTCGGAGAGCCCGGCAAGCTGCCGAGAGCATCTAGCCCACATGGCAGAGCCTGGCAAGCTACCCGTGATGTATTTGATATGCCAAACACAGTAACAACAAGTCTCATGATGGAGACGTTACTGGGCCCGCTCGAGCAAAGTGATGAACAACGGGAGGACCATGACTGTGACCATATTCATCCTATAGTGCCCTGGTGTAATGTTTACTTCCTTTTAACACTCAACAGGATTGTTTAGTAGCAGTTTCCTCCATCTCATCTTGAAGCTCCTTGATCTTATACTCAGCTGCATAATTTGGCTGCTATCAGCTTCTGTTATGGCTTTTTGCTTTTAATGTAACTTACCCTGCTCTTCATTTTGCCATTTCTGATTGGAGTTTTCTCATCTTGACTCTTAGACTTCCTTGGGCTTTGCTGCATACCTCTGCCACATATTCTTTGAGCTCATTAAACATCTTTATCATGGTGGCACTGGCAAAAAGTCACTGAGGATTTAGAGAGCTGGTTGTTGTTGTTTGTGCCTTCAAGGGTATTATTTCCACTCAGTGAACTGGGCAGGCCTTTACCATTGGTTTTCTAATGTTCTGGGGGAGTCTTTGTAGATAGATACCCTGGAAGGTGCTGAGGTATTAGGCTGGGGATTGCTCTCTTCTCTGCCTCTCATCACTGAATGACCTGAATTATAATTATGAGCAGTGTGTGATTTGCTGTGTATGTCTTTTGTGCAGTTACATAGGTGGCATGTGCTCTAGAAGCTGGGTGTGAGCCTGCTAATATAGCCCAGGTCAGGTGTAGAGGCTATTGGGACCTAGCCGGAAAGGAGGGTTCTGCCTCCCTTCCCAGAGTGGGTCCAGCGATGGCAGCCTGAGTCTGGTCTCAACTGCAATGGTGTCAATGCAAACAAAGTTCAGGTGCTGTCTAATAGCGTTTCTATCCTGCTTTTTAAAGCACTTTTTTTCATAAAAGAATATTGAATCTCATCATTTGTTTTCTTTCTCTCAATTGAAATATAGTTGTATGAATCTTATCTTTCTGTTGCTGTGATACAGTTTTTTTTTACTTTCTTATTCTCTCAATTGAAATGTAGTTGTATGAATCTCATCTTTTTTTTCATATGTTGAACAGCTAACAAGTACATGATATATGATCCTAACAGTGTACTCTATTGCATTTTTGGCATAGATATTTTTGACAATTTTTAGGTCTATGTTCAATGCTGGTGATTTATTTTATCTTTAGGTTTTCTTCTTGACTTATTTTCATATTAGAGTAGTGTTGTACTCAGAAACTGTGCATTCAAGTTCATCATTTCCTTGACTTTATTGGTATAATTTCAAAGGGTATTCAGATATCTTTGAATCTTTTATAGATCTCACTGTTGAAAGTTCTAGTAATGGAATTTCCTTTGGAATGAGAATTTTTTTTTCCATTTTTGGAGTGCATTCTAAAAGGACCCCCTCCTGAATAAATAGCAGTACTCCTCCATTTAAAAAGTTTAAAAAATAAAAGGACCCCCTCCCAATTACACGCAAGCTAATACTATATACCTGGATCATTCTAGGCACTCAGGATACTGTCTCAACCTTGTTAGAAGATGATGAGGTATGCAAACAAATAATTGAAGTCTGCCTGTATCCTTCATGTGGTAGAAAAGTCATTAGAGGTCGGAGTGTCCTATACTCAGGACTGATGACAAGGACACAGAAAACAAGGCTTGCTTGGCACCATGCCTAGGCCAGAGGGTGTGTAGAAAGAAAGATAATTGAAGACACAGGAGTAAAATTTAGGCCTTAAACCATGATCACGGTTGAGAGGATGAATCATACCTCAGAGGAGGACTGGGAATGGAATGTTTTTTATTGGTTAATAAGGACCAATTTTGACATGAGAAGATTATTCTGTTTCAATATAAACTAGAGCCATCAGTTTCTGAAGTTCACATAACTTCCACATGTATAGGGTGGGGTCATAGTTAAAGATGTAGAGGAGTTGTTAACTATTTAGAAATAAAAGCCTGTGAATGAAGTCTGGTGAGAGATTTAGATTAACATATTTTCAAAGGCACATATGATGATTGCTTTGACTGTGGTGGGAGAAAGAAGTGGGCATTGTCCTGCTGCCTCTTTCCTTAGTCTAATATGGGATTGAAGAATATGTTGTTCCCTTGGACAATTTACTTAATCCCATGCAAAGAATTGATTTCTATAACAGGAACAATGGTAAACATCTTACCAGCTTTGCAGTTTGCCACGGAGATCAACTGTGTTATTGGACTCATAATTGTCCACATGCTTTCTCTCAGCATCTAAAGGCTCAACAAATACTCAATGTTATTCTAATTATCTGAAAGCCTATGATTTATGGTATATGCTGTGAAGACTTTTCCAACTGAATAAACTAACACCCATTTTTTCCCACAGGAAAAGCTCCAGAGAGCAGTCACAAAACTGAAAAGCACAGAATCTAAATATATGCAGCTGAAGCTAGATACAACTCGGAAAATAAGTAGTTGGGAGGTGAGAGTTTGAAGCTTCTTGTGGTCAAACTACATGCCATCATCTTGTCTAAGAGTAGGTTGTGCTTGGTGAAAGCACTATAAAAGTACATTATTCAATAAATGGTCCAGATTGTTAAAAGTAATGTAGAAAGCATCACTTCCCTTTACTCCTTTGGTTATATGTATCTATTAAATTTTTGCTTCAAATTCTTCAACCTTGTGATAGTAATTATTTAGAATTCCCAATATCTGAGTTTACGAAGTAGAAATATTGTAGTCTACTTGAAAGATCCTTGACAGGATTCAAATTCTCAAACTTTGAATATACCTACCTGTTTTGAAGCCTCAACTGCATCATTTTGATGCATTTACCACAGGGCAGCATCTAACACTCAAGCTTTCCAGCTTCAGAGACCCACTGTTTGTGGACACTTAGAAAGAGATTCATTCTGATGAGATGCAATGAACTCAGTTTAATGAGGCTGTTAATGTGGAGAACCAGAACTACCATAAGAACATACAAAAGACAACTACAGTGTATGGGTCTCTGGTTCAGTAAATAACCAGACTCCCTATGAATGAAAAGAGATTTGTTTACAAATATATTGATATAGTACATTAGTCTGGAATATCATTGCACTGACCAGTGAGTCATTTTGGCTTTTTCATGGTGTCTTAAACCTCAGTCCTCACTCTTTATGTGCAAATCTCAAATATGATCTCTCAAAAGACAGCCCTTTGCTTTCATATCTGGGATCTTGATTGGTGGGAAGATCATCACAATCAAAAGTAAATAAATAAACACCTTTCACGAACACATGACTTGAACCTAAGCCTATTTCCCACTTAAAAATAAAAATTTTGCTCGTTTTTGCCCAAAAGCAGATGACTGGTTAAAGAAACTTTGGTACATTTACACAATGGAGTACTATGTAGCTATTAGAAAAGATGAAGTTATGAAATTTACATTCAAGTGGTACTACATGGAAAGTATCATGTTAAGCGAAATGAGTCAGAAAGAGCGGGATAGAAACAGAAAGATTGCATTCATCTGGGGAACATAAAGAAACAAAAAGGGAGACTAACACCCAGGAATGGCTGAGATTAGTACCAGTAATTTTGCTCCATGACTTGAAGGCCAGCCACATGTGCTAGGTGAAAAGGAAGCTCAGATAGAGAAGAAAGCACCAAATAAAGGGTGTTGTGAGAACACTCCCAGGGTGGGAGAAGCATGCTAAAAGTAGTCTATAGACCAAACATGATTGCCACTCAATGCCTTTCTTGCAAAACACAGTACCCAAAAGAAGAGAGAGAGAACAAGGGGGAATACCCTGCCACTGAGGCAGGGTGGGACGGGGGGGGGGGGGATGGGGGGTGGGGGGATGCTGGAACCCGTGGTGGTGGATGATGGGCACTGGTGGAGGGATGGGTACTTGATCATTGTATAACTAAAACCCAAGCACAAAATTTGTAAGTCTATAACTGTACCTCATGGTGTTTCACTAATAAAAAAAAGAAAAAAAATATTATCCTAAGTATTTTCTTATCCTAGGATAGGAAAATACTATCCTAACAAAAGATCGCATTTCATTTTGTTCTAGCTACATAAAAATTTAAGAATAGGGAAATATAAATTTAAAGAATATAGATTGGTATTTCCCTAATATACCAACCCTTACAGGAGCTGCTGGTTAACGGATGAAGCTGAGAGAAACTGGGGATAACTATTAAGGAGGAGGTAATTTTTAGAGAAAAGAAAACATACCAAAATTTTTATTGTGAGGACCACACATAAAAAACTAGTGCATTACAAATGTATAATGATATATTTTGAATTGTATCAAAATAAATTGAATAAACTTTTATTTTATGTGTTTAAAAAATTTTATTCATTTATTAATTTCATAAACATTGTAATACTTTCTGAAATGGAAAGTTAAAATGAATATTAAAGTTTAGTCCCCACCCCTACCAGATAAAATCTGTGTCCTATAGATCATTTTGTTTTAGAAATTTTCACACATTAAGGTGGTGAGTTGAATCCAGGGTTGATATTTCTAGTATTTATGATTAGAATCTGCCAACTGGGCCTCTCCCTGGTGAGACTCATGAACTCGCCAGGGTGGTCATCCTTACTCCAGTTGTGATGTCTCAGCTGGAAACTTCAATAAGGTTCAAGAAGAAACTTCAGGGGTTTCTTGAACCAAAAGTTTATCTGAAACACAGGAACACATGTTTATTTCAAAATAAAAATTCATATTTATTTTTATAACTCATATTTCATTTACTTTGGCCAAGCTCTATTCTGCACTTTATTCATACTACCTATACCAGCTTCTTGGTGTACAGAAGAAATTTTACCAGAAAATTAGATCTAATTCTGATGACCTTATCTACCTGTGAATTTCTTCTTCCCAGGCATAACTAGTGAAGGAAACATGGATAACTCTTCAGGCTACATCACCCTAACTGAGGAAATTTGTGTGTGTATGAGTGTCTGCATGCATGTGTCTAAGCATAACATAAAATCACCATATTACCCTTTAGAGTGGACAGCTCTGTAACAGTGTTTGTACATATGCTTGTGCATCCATTGCCTTTATCCACCTGCAAAACTTGTTCATCATCCAAACTAAACCTCTCTTCCTATTCCTAATTTTTCTTCCTCCTGTTTTCTAGTATTCACTGTCTCTATGAATATGACTTATTTCATAAAAGCAGATTTTTATAACATTGGCTTTCTGCTTCTGAGTTACTTGTTTTGCTCACTGTCTTGCTGATTGATCCATGTTGCACTCTGCATCAAATATTCCTTATTTATTTCCACTGAATAAGTTTCAGCTGCTTCTGTGTGTGACTCATATTGGATATGAATCTATCCATTAATGAACATTTGGGTGTACTCACTTTCTGAGCACTTTTTTACCTTATAGGAGAAAATAAAGCATGAGAAAGAAAGAATCAATTCTGAATTTAAACAACTTCACAGTTTCATGCACCTGGCAGAGGAGTATTATATGCATAGTCTAGAGAAAGAAAAAGAACAGAAGCTCATCAGACTGAAGAACAATGTAGCCCATCTGGACAACAAAGTAGAAGAACTCAAGAACAACATCCTGGAACTGGACAAGAAATGTCAGGACTCAGCGCAGACTTTGCTGCAGGTGAGTCTGAGCACTTGTAGGAAACAGAGATGTCTTATTCCCATGCTACTGAGAACAGAGGGTAAGAAATATGGAAGATTCACGAGGTCTACTTCCTCAGTTCAGACTCCTCCTTTTAACTCACTGTGTGCAGCGCGACACCCTGTAGTTCTACTAAGATGAATGAACTGTTGAATTTCAATTTTCTTATTTTGAGTAGTATCTCATTGTATGTGTACCACAATTTCTTTATCCACAATGTGTTATTGGGGTATTTGGAATGATTCTAATTCTTGGCCAATGTAAATAGTACTATAATAAACACAGAGAAAGCAAATACCTTTGAAAATTATGAAAATTAATGTAAATTTATGTAGTTGTGGTCTTGAAATGATCCTCAGAACAGGAAACTTTAGATTTTATGAGAGCTCAATTCTTATTTTTGGTGGTCTCCTATGATATTGTGATTCTATGTACTCTTTTCATATCAAGGCAACTGTGTATTTATAAAAGATGCCATTGTTTCTCTGCTTTCCCCCATTTTATATTTTCATTATCTACTGTTTCCGAGTAGGATCTCTTTGTTTTTTAAATAAGACCCTGTAGTGGTTTTAATAAATTGGTTAAATGGTAATGAATTTCTTTAGTTTTAGTTTTGTTTTCTTTAATGCTTTCAAGTTTAAATGATGACAAATGATAGAGTATTCTTATTGGGATGTTTGTTTCATTCAAATTGTTCCTTGTGTCAAACAATACTAATCAAGAGTTTTCATTTGAATCTTTTGGTGGTTCTTTGTATACAAGTTTCATTTGTATCTTGGTGCTCTTGCAATCCTATTTCTATGTTTTGCTTTTATCATTTTAATTACAGCATGTCTTAGCACAGCGGGTAGGGCGTTCACCTTACACGCGGCCAACATGGCCGACCCGAGTTCGATTCCTCCGCCCCTCTCGGAGAGCCTGGCAAGCTACCGAGAGTATCTGATATGCCAGACACAGTAACAACAAAGTCTCCAATGGAGACGTTACTGGGCCCGCTCGAGCAAAATCGACAATCAACGGGAGGGCCTTTACCTTTACCTTACCTTACCTTAGAGTTCTTTGATCTGGGTTACTTTTATTTAGAACACCTTAGTTCTATTAGAACTATTAATATATTGGATCTGGATGTGGGAGTCAGTACTCAGAATGGGGTAGTTATCAGCCACAATTTCATTTCTTTTTCTATTTTTTCAGTGATGCAAGGTAGTTTTTATTCAAACTTACAGGAGCGATAGCACAGTGGGTAGGGCATTTGCCTTGCACACAGCCAACATGGCCGACCCGAGTTCGATTCCTCCGCCCCTCTCGGAGAGCCCGGCAACCTACCGAGAGTGTCTCGCCCCCACGGCAGAGCCTGGCAAGCCACCCGTGATGTATTCGATATGCCAAACACAGTAACAACAAAGTCTCCAATGGAGACGTTACTGGGCCCGCTCGAGCAAATCGACGAACAATGGGAGAACAGTGACATACTGGAAAGATATGAGAGCACAGAAAGAGGATACATCTGTTCAAGAAAGAACATAGAAGCAAAGAATATACAGAGACAAGTGAGATATGTGTTCAAAGTGTTCAACGGAGAACATGGCCTTGATGAGCAAGAGATAGCTATAATTTTTTGAAACACTTGTTCCCCATTCTCACTTTCCTTTTCTTCAGCGACTACTTTTTTGTTTTTGTTGTTTGTTTTGGGGCCACAATTGGCACTCAATCCTTGCTTCTGTCTGTGTTCTCAGGGATCACTCCTGGGGTGCCAGGGATCAAACCAGTGTAGGTGATGTGCAAGGCAAACATCCTACCCACTCTACCATCACTCCAGCTTCATCAAGGCCTCCTTGAATTTGATTGCTGTTCCTCTTATAATTAGCCCATAATGCTCTCATATACCTTTCATATTTTTTTCTTCTACTTAATTGATAGCTTTCTAAATCTTATTTTCTTATTTGATTTGTTCTTTGACATCTGTCACCCAGTTGCTGGAACCTCCAAAGAAGTTTTAAATTTATTTAAGTTCAGATACTCCCTGACTAATACTTTGTTTTGCTTTGTTGATTACCTTTTCTATTGCTTTCCTTTATTCATTCAACCTTATGATTTTTACTTTGAAGTTCTCAACTCAGAAAATGAGCAAAAATTCTCTTGGTTGCTTGGGAACTTTTTAGATGTTCACCCATTAATTTGCATTTACTCCTTTTTAGATGTTTACCCATTAATTTGGATTTACTTCTTCCTCTTCTTTATTGTGTCTCCTGAGCTGTGAGAGTTCTAGTTTTGTGCATTTACGGTAGCAAATATAAGGCTCGATTATATCCACCATTACCACAGAGAACCTCTGGGGCTAAGTTTGTGCTGCAACCAGTCACTACCAAGACTTTGCCGTACTCAGCAGCACTGTCCCTTGAGCTTCATAGTTTGAGTGACTCACCATGCCCCTGCTCTCAGTCCTTCAGTGTAGGCACTAGTGCACATCAGAACCATAAACCATACTTCCTTATTTCTTGCACCAAATGTGCTCTGTATCAGAATCTCTGCATCAGATGCACTATGTGTGTGTGTGGGGGGGGGGGGTTAGGGGGGTAGGAGACTGGGGGTGGAGATATGGAGAGAGTGGGGTTCTCAGGGGTATAGTATGGTCTTTGTAGTCATCTCAGACAGGCAACTGAGCTGCCTTAACCACATCTCCATACTCACTGTTTTATTCCCCTGGCCCTGACAAAAACTCAGCTTCCTTCATCATGTGGTGCCTGTTATCAGTAGCTAAGCATTTCAGTCACTGGGACTCTGGATGGACTCAGGACTTTATGTAAGCAGTGTCCAATATGAACTCACTCTAAGGAAATCACATCATTGAAAGGAAGTGGTACCCTGGGCATCCTTCTGAGCACTTTCCCAATAGCCATAGGTTGGTGTGTTTTCAGACAGCACAATATCAGTGAGGAAATCAGAGAGGTTGATAAACAAGTAGTCATGTGCATCCCCAAGGGGCTCAGGATGGAATCATCTTATTAGAAATCCATCAATGTCTATGGTTAGGGGTTCAGTGGTGTGCCTCAACACGAATGAATTTACCCTGTATGTGTGAGGCCTTGGCTCCATTCCCACCCATGGGGTTACGTTCCTTTCTTTCCTGGAAGGAGTGTTTATAGAGAACTTCCCTGCATATACTATGCTTTATGAAGGTCAGATGTTCCTGCACTCACCTTTTTTCATGTTTTCTCTACAGGGTATAAAAGACACCCTGAGCAGGTGAGTGTCCATGGAAACAGTGTGGGCCATGGAGGGGCATGGACATAGACACATGGATGGAAGGAGCCACTGAAGAAACCTCTTTTTGCTGTTATTCTAGGGTCTCAGCTATCAATCTAGAAACACCAGAGGATGTTTCTTTGGAACTGCATACTGTGCGCAGTGTCTCTGAGCTTCACTTAAGTGTGAGAAAAATTTTTAAGCGCCACCAAGGTATGTTGATTTAAGAATCCCTTGTTAATATTTTATTTAACTCTCAGTGTAATGCAGTAAAGGTAGGTGATTATTATGCAATGGAGTGCAAGTGATGTAAGGACCTTGACCTAGTAACACATTTTACTAATACCAAAGCTGAGCTCTCTTTTTCTATAATTCTCTTTAATAATTATTTTCTATCTTTCTGTAATCTCTTATAAAACCCAATATTCAAGGAAAGACAAAGTTTTTTTTAAATGCTTTTCTCTAAGATCAAACCAAGCATCAGAGAGAAAGCTCAATGGGCCGAGTGCATGCTTCATGTTCAGAATATAGAGGTAGTCCCATCACTGAAGCTCCTATTCATGGTACCCTAGGGCCTTGTACTGATCAACTGGCCCAGGTGGCCTGGAATGACTCGGCCCCTGCACCTGTTTGGCAGTCCCTCCCCCAAAATTCTGTCTTAGCAGGTGTGCATTTTTGCATGTATGAGTGTTATTCAATTTTACGGATGTTCATAATATGTTTGAAAAAGCTTTCTATTTCTAATATTTAAAAGGTTTGAATTACTCTCTCAATGATTTGTCTTTAAAAACCTTGTATTAGCATCAAAAAAAGAAGTATATATGGTATACAATTTGTATTTTTTTTTAAAAAAAATTATATGTATTTATTTGAGTTTTTAAAAAATAAATTCTGAAGTCACACCTGACTTTCTTTGCCTTTTGCTTTTCCTTGGCTTTATATTCAATGATCACTTCTGGCAGTGCTCAGTGAACTATATGTGATACAGGAAATCTAACCTGGGACAGCCCAGTTTGAGGCAAGCATCTTAATCACTATTGTATCTTTCTGGCTCTATTTAATACTTTTTTTTAAACTTTCTTCACATTGACACTTTGGATTTTTCACAATAGTTTAAGTAATAGCAACTGAAACCCAACTTATTTCTGAGTCAGACTTATGATAAGAATTGGTTGGAGAGAATCTTTACAATGAAGGGATTATTTATAAAGATGAGAAGTAGGATAGAGAACAAGGCGTAGTCAGTCCTGCACCCAAGGCAGGAGCGGGTAGACAACCATCATTGTCCTGGGCCTCAAGTGGCAGGTAGAGGATGCTGTACGGGTGGGAGAGTGTGACAGGGGAGAGGAATGCAGAGCCTGCCAGTCAGCATGGGAGGGCCATGTGTCCTTCACACTGCTACTCAGTTGCTTTGTGCCCCAGGGCCTTCTCCTCTGCTTCCTGTTAGCTGAAATAAGCAGAGATAGGGAAGAGAGCACTGGTGATGCGTCCACAGCGGTCAGTCTTTCAGGGAGAGAACCAAGTGGGAAAAGTGGGTAAAGAAAAACAGGGATTTGAGGAACACTGAGAACATCCAGCACAAGAAGTATTTTGCATAGCGGATTTAAGTTACCTGGAAAAAAAGTCCAACACCCTGTGCTTAGCCTGGTAACCCAGTGAGTGGTTGACTCTTTTTTGAGTGGTTACAAGAGTGGTTAACATCCTTGTGCTCAGAGCCATAATACACCTGCTTTGATGTTTGTCTTGTACCCGGCAATCCTTGGTTCGATCACCTGGTCCTTTGAGTACCATCAGAAGTAATGCTGAGTTAGAGCCAGGAGTCACTCCTGAGCATTGCCGGGTATGGCCCCCAAAAAACATAATAGAAAATATTCTATTGATACATTTAACTTTAAATTTTTGATTTTACAGTCAAAGTCACACTTAAATTTATCATATATTTTACTATTTTATTCAAGGATGATTTTATAGCTTTCATGTATATTGACCCTAGGTTTATTAAATTTTGATAATTTCTATAAATTCCTTTTATCTAACTTAAGAAATTACAGTAAGCTCTAATACCCATGGAGCTCAATAATTTTGTGACCTGGGAGAATTCTAGGTCTTTAATCACAATCTATGAATTTAGTTGTCTTTTTTAACTTTTCTAATATAGAATTTGTAGTTTTTAGTTAGAGATGGAATTGTCTTATTTCTGTTTCAATGTTACACGATTTCTCAAGAGAAAAATGGGTCTTAGAAATGACAGAACCCATGTAAATTCTGATTGGTTCTATTCCTAGGTTTTTTAAACTAGAGATAAGGATGATGGTTATATTATTACTAGAAATTCTCAGATACTTCCCATTAATGAGACATTTTAATAACAATTATTTAGTTCACTCAGTCTTCCTCAACAGTTTCTAGTGACTCACATAGAGATTACACAGATTTTGAAAACTGAAACTCAACATGACTCTTAGACAATAAGAACAGAACTTTGGTTTGAATATAGGTTAGCTTTATTTTATAAAATACTCTAAATATTAACACATGTTAGGAAGAACACTGACAGTGGTGGTGGGTTTGGAGTTAAGCACTGAATGCCAAAAGCTGTTATGCTTAGCTCAATAAACTGCAATGAATAAAGAAAAAGGTTTTTTTCCTTTAAGAAGCAAGTGTGTGGGCCATACTGTGTAGACTATTTGCCTTGCACGTGGCCAACCCAGTTTTGACCTTAGGAATCCCATCTGACCCCCAAGCACAACCAGGAGTCTTTCCTGAGTGCAGAACCAGTAATAACTCCTAAGTGTCATCGGACATGACCCAAAAAAGCAAAAATAAACAAATAAAAAGAAAAAGAAGAAAAAGCAAGTCTGGTGGAGAAGAGACAGGGATAGAACACCCATAATTTGGTTCCCCAATCCCACCTTGAGTGACCCCTAAGTGTAGAGCCAGGACTAAGCCTCAGTACTGCTGAACATGGCCTCCAAACAAAAACCAAACATACAGAGTAACTCTTTTGAAGCTAGACCATAGTACAATGATAAAGTGCTTGCCTGGCACACCACCAAATCCAAAGCATCCCAAAGAGTACACTGCCAGCAATTCTTCCTAAGCACAGTAGTAAGCCCTGGCTCTGCCTTGTGTGGCCTCTGCTCAAAAAAAAAATTAAAAAATCAAATTCAGTCTTTTGTCTTTTTTTCTCTTTTTTTGCAGTCAATGTGTCTTCAGATCCAGATACTATTAATCAAAAGATATTCATTGGTGATCCTGTCCGCCCCTGCAACATCCTCCAGCACCACACCCAGTCTGCAACCTGTCCCAGACCACAACGCACTGAAGATAGAAGTTATTCACAGACACATGCAGAGAACCAAATCAAACACCTGGAAGTTAAACAACTCAATGTTGAACAACGAGTGGGTCAGGAAGGAAGTCAAGGAAGAAATGAAAAAATATCTGGAAACCAATGAGAATGAAGACACGAGCTACCCGAACCTTCAGGACGCAGCTAAAGCTGTGATAAGGGGAAAATTTATAGATCTGCAAGCATTCATCAGGAAGAAAGAAAGGGCCCACATAAATAACATAACTTCACAGCTCAAGATCTTAGGAAAGAACCAGCAAAAGGAGCCCAAACAAGGCAGAAGGAAAGAAAGAACAATAGCGGAAATTAATGACACGGAAACACACACACAAAAAAAAAACCAATCCGAAAGATCAATGAAACCAAGAGCTGGTTCTTTGAGAAAATTAACAAGATTGATAAACCACTAGCAAGACTCACAAAGAAAGAGAGAGAGAGAGAACCCTAATAAGCCGAATCAGAAATGAAAGTGGGGACATCACAACAGAAAGCAAAAAAATGCAAAAGATCATCAGAGTCTACTTTGAAAGTCTGTGTGCCAGGAAACAAGAGAACCTAGAAGAAATTGGATAAATTCCTGGATTCCTATAATCTCTCAAATTTGAACCAAGAAGATATATTCAGGAATACCTGAATATATCTATAAATAGCAAAAAAATTGAAACTGTAATAAAAAGTATTCCCCAAAACAAAAGCCCAGGTCCAGTTGGATTCACTAGCAAATTTTTACAAACATTTAAAAAGGACCTATTGCAAGTTCTTCTCAAGCTTTTCCAGGAAATTGAAGAAACAGAAACTCTTTGATGCAGTTTCTAAGAGGCACATATATCCTTAATACCAAAAGAAACCAAAAGAAACAAAGACACCACAAAAAGAGAAAACTACAGAAAGATATTCCTGATGAACACGGATGCAAAGATCCTTAACAAAATATTAGCAAATAGAATCCAACAACTCATCAAACAGTTCGTAAAACATGACCAAGTGGAATTCACCCCAGGGATGCAAAGATGGTTTAATATTCGGAAATCAATCAACATAATACATCATATCAAGAAAAGAAAAGATAAAACCATTTGATCATATCAATAGATGTAGAAAAAGCATTTGACAAGATTCAGCCCAGTTTATGATGAAATCTCTCACCAAAATGGGTTGTGAAGGTTCTTTCCTCAATATAGTCACAGCCATCTACCATAAACATACCACAAGTATTATCCTCAATGGGGAAAAACGAAGAGACTTCCCTCTAAGATCAGGGACAAGACAAGGATGCCCACTCTCACCACCTCTGTTAAATATAGTACTAGAAGTACTAGCAATAGCGATTAGGCAATAAAAATATATTAAGGGTATCAGATAGAAAAGGAAGAAATCAAGCGCTCACTATTCGCAGATGATATGACATTATGACCCTTAAAGCCTCTACCTAGAAACTCCTAGAAACAACAGACTTTCATAGTAAAGTCACAGGCTATAAAATCAATATACAAAAGTTCATGGCTTTCTTATATGCAAACAATGAGAGAGAGATGAATGTGATATGAAAAAAGCAATTTCGTTTACAATTATGCCTCAGAAAATCAAGTAACTCGAGATCTGCTTAACTAAAAATGTAAAGGACCTGTACAAAGAAAACTACAAAATGCTACTTCATGAAATAAAAGAGGACACAAGAAAATGGAAACATATCCCCTGCTCATAGATTGGGAAGAATTAACATTGCCAAAATGGCAGTAGGCCCCAAAGCATTATGTAGATTCAATGAGATCCCTATAAGGATACCCATGAAATTCTTCAAATAAATGGATGTAACACTCCTGAAGTTCATATGGAACAACAAATCCCCATGAATAACTAAAGCAATTCTTGGGAAAAAGAAGATGGGAGGTATCACCTTCACCAACCTCAAAATCTACTACAAAGTGGTAATAATTAAAACAACATGGTACTGGAACAAAGGCAGAGTCGCAGACCAATGAAACAGGGTTGAATATCCTTACACACACCCTCAAATATATGATCATATAATCTTTGATAATGGAGCAAGAAATGTGAAGTGGAACATGGAAAACCTCTTTAACAAATGGTGCTGGCAAAACTGGACAGCTACATGCAAAAAAACTGGGCTAAAACTCTATATAACACCGTACACAAAAGTCAGATAAAAATGGATTAAAGACCACAACATCAGACAAGATTCCATCAGGTACACTGAAGACAAGGTTGGCAAAACCCTCAACGATACTAAAGCTAAAGGTATCGTCAAAGATGACAAGCCAATCACCAAGCAAGTGGAAACAGACATAAACAAATGGGACTATCTTGAACTGAAATGCTTCTGTACCTCAAAAGATAGAGTGTATACACGAAGACAGAGACAGTATACAGAATGGGAAAGGATATTCACTCATCAGATAAGGGTTGATATCAAGGAAATACAAAGCACGGATTGAATTCTACAAAAAGAAAACATCCAACCCCATCAGAAAATGGGGTGATGAAATGAACAGAAATTTTCTCAAAGAAGAAATCTGAATGGCCAAAAGACACATGAAAAAATGCTCTTCATTACTAATCATCAGGGAGATGAATATAAAAATGACAATGAGATATCATCTCACACCACAGGGACAGGCCCACATCCAAGAAACAAAAGCAATCATTGTTGGAGCGGATGTGGGGAGAAAGGGATTCTCCTTCACAGCTGGTGAGAATGCCGACTGCTTCAGCCCTTTTGGAAAACAGTTTTGGACACTTCTCAAATAATTGAAATTGATCTCCCGTTTGATCCAGCAATATCACTTCTGGGAATATATTCTGGAGATGCAAAAAGTATAGAAGAAATGACATCTGCACTTATATGTTTATTGCACCACTGTTTGCAATAGCCAGAATCTGGAGAAAACTTGAGTGCCTATAAGCAGATGACTGGTTAAAGAAACTTTGGTACATCTACACAATGGAAGAGTATGCAGCTCTTAGAAAAGATAAAGTCATGAAATTTGCATATAGTGGATCAACATGGAAAGTATCATGTTCAGTGAAATGAGTCAGAAAGAGAGGGCCAGACATAGAAAGATTGGACTCATTTGTGGAATATGAAGTAACAGATTAGGAGACTAACACCCAAGAATAGTAAAGATAATTATTAGGATTACTCCACAGCTTAGTAGCTGGCCTCACATCCTGGTGGAAAAGGCAGCTCAGATAGAGAAGAGACCACCAAGTAAAGGGTGCTGGGAGGGCCCTCTAAGGGTGGGAGATATGTGCTGAAAGTAGACTTAATGGTCACTTAATACCTCTATTGCAAACTGCAACACCCAAAAGAGAGAGAGAGAGAGAGAGAGAGAGAGAAGGAGAGAGAGAGAGAACAAAAGGGAATACCCTGCTATGCCACAGAGGTGGGGTGGGTTGGAGGGGATGGGATGGGAGTGATGGGAGGGATGCTGGGACCATTGTTGTTGGAGAATGGGCACTAGTGGAGGGATGAGAACTCGATCATTGTATAACTGAAACGCAAGTATGTAAGTTTGTTGGTTTGTAACTGTACCTCATGGTGATTCACGAATAAAAAATAAAAATGTATATATATATAAATAAAATAAAATAAAGACTAAAAAATTATTAATTCACTTTGATAAATAGAGAAGTACAATTTTCCCAAAACACTTAATAGAATCTCAAACTTGTGGAAGATGTAATGACATAATCTGCATGCTGGGCCATGAGCGCTTCACCTCAGGAAGATATTACTTTGAGGTGGAGATGGGAGCAGGAGCAGAGGGGGCTATAGGTGTTTGTCTGGAAAATGTGCCAAGGGACATTAGCATAGTACAAGAGCCTCAGTCTGGATTCTGGGCCATCAGACAGAGAAAGGACAAGAGGTGTTCGGCCCTTACTTCACCACCAACCTTCATTCCTCTGAGGAACGAGCCTGAAGTTTTAGTGATTGTTTTAGACAGTGACGCTGGCATCATATCCTTCTACTATGCTACTACTGGTTCCCACATCTACACCTTTCCAAAGGTCTCCTTCTCTCATGCTCTCAGACCTTTTTTTGAGGTCTATTCATATTTTCTTTCCTCTGAACTTCTGGAAATGATTAAGAAAAAAGGAAAGTCTCCTTTTAGTTAAACCAGCATAGAAAGTACTTGGTAAATCCAAGAAATTGGATCTTATTCCTTCCTGGCTATTTCCACATATCTATAATATTATCTCAAACATTTGTAATGCATAAACACTGTGTTCAAATAATGTACATTCAAGCAGTAACACTAAAGATAATGAGTGTGCACAATAGTGGAATAAAGTGAGATATAGTTATCACAGTGCATGTTTTGCATAGCGTGTCTCCTCTCCTTTCCTCTCCATGATTTCAGATCTTGAAGTTCCAAGACACCCTGACAGGCCAGTGAGCAGGATGATAGGATCTCAAGAGGTTCAGGTTCTCTCTGCTTGTTTGGTACCATAGGAACCCAGTGGGAGGGAATAAGGAAAGCTGCAATTATATCAGCAAAAGCATGAGAAGGGTAGAGACTCCTGTGACCATTGGCATGTTGGTGAATTATCTGAGCTGCAGTCCTGAATGAGAGAGTCAGTGCAGACAGTGACCAACCTGGAGGGTCCTGCCCAGTGAAATGTGAGGGAAACCTCACAACTGACTTCGAGTGAGATGCTTCACATAAAGACAAGATCCAGAGTAAAACTCGGTTTTGACAGTGCTTCAGTAATGGTAATAGTACAAAGTTGATATTTGCACACTGAACTTGCAGAACCAATCCTGAAATAATTTTACATTTTCATGATAGTCCTTGTTGTCAAGATTGTTGAAAGTTTTTATAAGGAAGCATACACCAAACAAATACTCTTTGTTTTCAAAAGAGTTTTCTTTTCTCTATTTTAAAAACTAAATAGGTATGTTTTCAAGATCACGTCCTGTAAGGTTTTCTCTGACCAGATGACACCACTCAGGACCAAATGGCAATAAGCTGATGAGATGCGACATTCCAGGAATCACATATCTCTCTGTTCCAGTATGGAAGGTAGGACTTAAGGCTTATTTGCTACGCAGAGGTCAAGAGATTTGGAGGCGACCTACTCAGAAGGAGGGGATTGGGCCTCAGTTTACCTTTTCACTCACTAGTTTAATTTTTAGTTTGTATACATTTTCAGATAAGAGTATGCCTGAGGGGACCAGTTCCTGAGGGCCTCATTTTGGAACCCATTTTTTTCTAAAAAGTTCCTTGTTCAAGTTGTCTTTTAAAACCTTCTTTTACTATCACTCTAGTCCAACAACCCAAGTTTGATATCCAGCACTCCATATAATCCCCTGAGCCCACCAGGTGGGATCCCTAAGTGCAGAACCAGATGATAAAGAACTTACAAAGCTCAACTACAACAACCACAAATGATCCCTCTCAAAATGGGGAAGAAGATTAATAGACATTAGCCTCAAGAAAATGCATGGTGAATAAGCATGTAAGGTCCCTTGGGACCCCAGGAAAATTCCAGAGCTAAACTCTGCTAATTAGTAACTCTTTGTTTCCTGCCCCCTTCCAAGTAGAGCCTTAACTGTGAAACCATTAGTTGACTCTTCTTAATTGGGATGTAAATTCTGTCTCCATTTGTTGACCTTTCCTTATTGGGATGTAATTTCTCTCTCCATTTGTGACCCTTCCTTATCTATACTTCTGTTAGTAACTTTTTCCTTTTCAGGCTGCACCTGAATGTAGGCACCAGGAGCTGTAAATTAAAGGGAACCAGGTAAACATAGAAGATAACCAAATGTCTGAGTTAGGAGATACCTTCTAGCCGCCCATGAAATGCTCGGGCTCTGCTGTAATGGCCAGTGAAGGCCTATATAAGATCCCCTTTGAAGAAGTTTGAGGTCTTGCCTGACTTCTTGACCCTGGCTAGCCAGCTCAATAAACTACCTCCTTGCTGATTGCATTCCTGCGTGGTACTTGCTTGAGGTTGGAGATCCAGAGTCCTGCCCTAACAAGTATACTTAGAAAGAAGTGTTCTTTGTCACCTTTTATCAAATGCAAATCAAAACAACAATAAAATATCTTCTCCCACTACTGAGAGTGCCACATATCAGAAAAGGTTGGAGGGAGGATATTGCTGGCTGGCTGTAGTGACAGAGGAATCCGCATTCACTGTTGGTGAGAGTGTTTTCTGACTCAGGCACTAGGGCAACACCATGAAGACTCTTTTCCAAATCTAATAACAAAGACCTAAGCAAAAGAGTTCAAGGCTCTGGCCTCAGATGTGGCTGATGCCAATTCACTGTCTGGCTTTATAGCACCATCAGAGTCAACTCAGATTACTTCGGGGTGTGCCCCCCACTGGAGCTAAACTACTAGTGGCCCCACAGCGGGCCCAAAGCCTTTTCCCCATAGGACAGAGTCATGGCTCCCAGCTGACATCACTCCCTCTGGCCATAAGTGGTTCCTGTGCTGTCCTGAGCACTGAATCCTGCAGAGGGACAGTGTGAAGGAAGGAGACAGAGCAGAGACACTGGGAGGGACTGGAATGAGCCTGTGCCTGATGGCCAGAGCCCTGTCCTGGGTACACCCACTTCCCCACATCCTCCTGGGCTGCATAAAACAATCAGGGACCTAGAAGAGCAAAGACAAGTTGACCAGGAATTCTCCTGGAGTCCCCTGGGCCTTTGTGGCAAAAGTGCAGAGATCTGACATCAGAGTCTGGGAGCTGAGCTGTGGTTCCTGCATAGACTCAGACTGAGGACACAGAACATTTTCCTGGTTAGGACTTATCCTCCCTCTTACTGCTCAAGAGAGTCTTCAAGTTCCTGTCCCCTAACTTGAGGGCAAGCTCAGTAGGAAACACACTGGCATCTTCTCTCATTTCCTGCCCCATTCCTAAAGGGCTCCACCCCCCACAGTGGTTTCGATTTTGGGTTTAGTCCAGTGGAGTGAACTTCCTTGCCAGGCCTGAGACAATCACAGCAACAGAGGAGACATCAGGGAAGAAGCTTGTGCTGTCTGCTGTGTGGAGAAGGTACTACAGTCCAGGCTGCATTTTGTTCTGTGTATGTGTGTGTGTGTGTGTGTGTGTGTGTGTTTGTGTGTGTCTGTGTGTGTTTGTTGAGAGGCTGGAGGACAGGTCTGGACTTTGCTTTCTTGTTCTGTTCGCCTTTTGTTTTCACTCTCAGTAGACCCAAGTCTCCTCTCAGTAGCTCAGGGATGAGGTGCCCGGGAAGGCCCCATAGTCACCACTCAGGGCTCATTGGAGGGGAGTGTCTTCTCCCCAGACCACACCATCCTTCAGAGGAAGTAACTGGCATTTGATGAAAGTTTCTACAGGAGATTCTCCTGTCTCCAAAGGAAGAGCCCTATGATTAGAGAGAAAGTGCCTTTCTAGTAACTTCAGTTGATCCTCCTTTTTCATCTTAGCACTGTCTGTTGAAGGGAACGTATGTTGTTATGCTTTATCCTTTCTTTACTCCCCTCCCCTCCAACTCTCTCAGTGGGAATTGAAGCACATGCCCAGATCCAAAAGCATCTGAAACCTTGGGGGCAGGACATAGTCGAGCTCCTGACCCAGTTCCCCTGTCTCTGCGTGTGAGGTCCTCCATGGTGAATTCTAAGGGACCAGCAGTCTGTGTAGCCCACAGACTAGGCCATCCCCCTTGCTCCACACCTCACTACATCCTGGAGCTGCCAACATTCCCTCTTCCATTCACCCTGAAGTTCTGGAGGTGCCTGAGTCACCTTCTGATTCTCCATGAGCTCTTTTCGCATCAGGACCACCTGTTCTCCTGGATGCTCTTTGAATTCTCATTCCCTCAGGTCAGGTAGGGTGACCTGAAAGGAGACATTGTCCCTCTGGTTGCCTTGATGACTGGTTCATCCTGGGGGAGCTTGGATGTCCATTTCTGTCCTCTACATAAAGAACATCAAAAGGACTGACATGTTGGTCACTAATGTGAGCTGAATCCTTGTGAGAGAATAAGTGCAGACAGTGACCAATCTCATGAGTCCTGACCTAGGACTGACCAGAGAAGGGGACAGTAATAGTCACAATTGATTTATGGTGAGATACTTCCAGTGAGGAGATCAATGTAAAACTGAATTAGGATGTTGATTCAGTACTAAAAAAAAAGTTCATGTATTCACTTGGGCTTGCGACTCCTATTATGAAACAATTTCAAGTATTCATAATAGCTTCTGTTAACATAATTTTTGACACTTTTTATAAGAAATCCCATATCAAAAATATATTTGGGTATATTTTGAAAAGTACTTTCTCATGTCAAATATATTTTTTACCTTGTTTGAATTGACGATGACAGGACCTGATCAAATGAGTAAAAGGAGAAGCAGCATTATAACTAAAAAATGCCACACTATTACTAGAAAATTCCTCACCAAATAGCGAAAGCAATCCTAGAAAAAAATAGAAATGGAATGCATCATTTCCCCAATTTTATATGGTTCTATAAAACTGTAATAGTTAAAACAGTGCGGTGCTGGAATAAGAACAGATTCTCAGATCAATTTAATAGAAATTAGAATCCAGAGAGAGAGATCGTCAGAAATATGGAAAATTTATCTTCAATAAGGAAACAAAAAATAAGAAATGGAGGAGGGAATGTTTCTTCAACAAGTGGTTATTGAAAAACTAGTCAGTTACAGTCAAAATAATAACAATAAAAATAATAATAAGTATACACTTTCCTAACACCATGCATGAAACTCAAATCAAAATGGGTTAAAGACGTCTATATCTGACCCAAATCCATAAGTTATATTGAGAAAAATAGGTAAAACTGTGTACTACTTCGAAGCTAGAGTTCACTTTAAGGATCCAATGCCAACGGCAAAGCAAACAGAAGCAAAGATAAACAAATGGGATTACGTCAAACTCAGAACTTCTGTACCTCAAAGGAAATAATGGCCAGAAAAAAGATACTTCGCCCTTGATTAGTGTGTCCACTGCCCTCCACTTGGGTTCAGGGTTTCTCTCCCTTACACTAAGCCTCACACTCTCCATTAGAATGAGAGAGAAGGAAAAGGGGTTGTGGAAGGACAGTAAGGCTAAAGAGGCAGCTCTGTGACTTGGTCTGGCTTGCCGTCATGGAGTCCAAGATTATCAGACTCCCATAGCTTCAGTTGGAATGGAAGGATGGGAGCTTGCAGCTGTCTTGGTCAAGAGAAAGGTGGAAGGGTCTGGACAGTCTCCTTTGGGCTTTGTATGGTCCCTTGTCCAGTGGCCCATCTTGTCACACTCCTTTGTGAGATCCAAGGCTTCTTGGGTCATTAAGGACACTCGCCTTTCTGGCAACCAAGTTTGCCACAATGGAAGCAGAAAGTTTTGAGTGGAGAGGATTTCCGGGCACTCCTGTGGAGCTGGCCAGGCTTTAGAGTGGTCAGGAGCTGGCAGTACCTTTAGTCTTCTTTACTTTGATCTTTTGTCTCTCTTCTGACCCCTTTCTGTCATCTTTGCTCCTCCTGGTAGTAATAATGAGAGGAAATTTATCTAACTAATTCTGAGACAATAAGTTGTCTGAATATTCTCATATTTTTTCTCAATCTCTAGTTGGTTTATGGAAGAGGCAAGAACTCTGTGACAATTAGTGTAGAGGAGGGTGAAAAATATTAGTCTATAAGGTATCTCTGCCTCCTCCTTAGATCATTTACAAAAGAAATAGAATGATTGGATGGTGTTGTAATGAAATGGAACACCCCTTTGACCAAAATTCCTTATTCTTTAAATTATATTTGGGCTAAATCTTCTCACAGAGAAAAACCGTACCAACTATCCCATCTCTCCCATCCCCAATTTTTTTTAATTCATTACTTTGAATGCTTTTATTCTCAAAAACAATTCCACTAGAACTTGTTCAGGACAACAGACACAGTCTTTGTCATTAAAAAAAACTTGCAGGGGTGGCATGTGAGTTTGGCTAAGTGATCTTCATTCCAGAAGATATTCTCTATGACTCTAAAGAGATAATACTTATAGTTAGACAAAGATACTTTAACATGTAGCTTTAGTTTAAAAAGCAGCATTAATGATTGAGATATCTCATCACTGTCAGGTCAGAGAAGCATTTATTTTCTACCTCATGCTGCCTCTATTCCCTCCCCACAAACACTCAACAGTGAGAATAGAGAAAAGAGCCTCCCAAAGGTGTAACGATCTATCTGGATGAAGGGCAAAGTTCTGTGTCTGTGTCATTTCCTGTGTTCCCATCGTAGGTACACACTGGTACTCACTGGTGGACACCAGGAGACAAAATGCCAGGATCAACAGAGGCCTGTCATCCCTATCTGTTCTCACTGAACCACTTCAGTTTTCTGTCACATTAATGGGTTCTAACTACTATCTCCTTCTGCGAGACCAGGTTGGCCTGAAGAAGTAAGTGTCAGTCACCTCTCTTGGTCTCCAGGAGCTCTGCTCTCAGGATAATCCCTTCTTCTCCTACCTCTTTCAATTCTCTGTCCTCTGGTCAAAGAGGCTAATGACAAGGGCACACAGCTTCTTCAGGGTGTCAGTTGATCTTATTATCATTTGGTGCCTGGGTCTTTTTATCCATACCTTTTATCATTATTTGCAGTGGAAATAAGTAACAAGAACTGGGAATTAATGATCCAGTGCAGACATGATTTTTCTTGAGGAATTCTGCAAACTCTTCCTAATTTTAGTACCAGTTACAAAGAAATCAACTAGTAGTGATAAAGTACCTTTTCACAAAATGCGAGTCTCACCCTTCCTTCAAGAGTTTCTCTCCTTTGCTTTAATTTTTGCGAGGAAACCTGTCCTTTTCTCACTCTTCCTGAGTCCCATGTCCAAAATATTTCTAGAATTAAAATAGAATCTTTGATCTGGTCTCATTTCACCACAAACTCAAGCAAATAATAAACAATTAAAATGCAATAATAGCAGTTAGATTGAAGAACAAAATATTAAATTTTATTTTAATTATAATCAGTTTAAGGACCAAGTGTGATGGTGCCACAGTCATTCACAAAACAGCTCCATGAAATGAATCTTCTCAATCCTAATCCATATCTCTCTTAGAGAGATTTCAAGCTCACAAGAGGCCCTGAAATTCTAGAGAAGTGCATTTCTCACATACTAGAAATTTCTGACTGCTTCTTCCCTGCCTCTTGATCCAATATTGCAGCATTTCCAGAAAAGCCATGGCCTCAGCTATATTTATCAAGAAGTTGAGGGAGGAAGCTACCTGCTCCATCTGTCTGGAGCTGATGACTGAGCCCGTGAGCATCAACTGTGGGCACAGCTACTGCCACCAGTGCATTGTGGGTTTTACTGGGAACCAAAGTGCTGATACATCATCTCCAGGGACATTTCACTGTCCCCAGTGTCGTAAACCTTTTCAAAGTGGTAGTCTCCGGCCCAACAAGCAACTGAGAGGTATGATTGAAACTTTTAAGGAAATGAATCAGAGCATGTGTAATGAACATGGAGAGCAGCTCCATCTGTTCTGTGAAAATGATGGTCAGCTCCTCTGCTGGTGCTGTGAGCGGTCACCACAGCACAAAGGACACTTCACTGCTACTGTTGAAGATGCATGCCCAGGTTACCGGGTGAGTGTGAGGTCCAGAAAGCCTCCGAATAACCTCATCTGCTGTTGCTTTGAAACCTATTTTATTCATTTGACAGAAATTATTTTCATTGTAGTAATTGCTTCAAATGTGTTCTCTCACTTGCTGCAAAAGTGACTTGTCACAGTACCCTCACTAAAATATGCTGAACTCCACCCTATAACTCCTGAAGGCATTTTTTTGGTGCCTGTTAACAATCTCTGTGTCTTTTGTAATGTAATATGCATTTTTTTTAATTTTTATTAGTGAGACACCATGAGGTACAGTTTTAGACTTACAATTTGTTTTGCTTGGGTTTCAATTATAGCATGATCTGCTTTTTAGTGCAGACAGAAAGGCAGTTGCACCCATGAACAGCCTTTCTGGCTCCTGGTCAGGCTGCTTAATGGCCATGATCCAAGAGACTCAGGAATAAATCTCGGAACCCAGCAGGTTTTGGCAGAAATCCCTCCAGATTTAATTGTTAAAATTTTGGAATTTCAAAATCGCGCAGCCACTACTGCAGTCACGTGGCATCATATGTTTTTCATAACGAGGAATAGGAAATAAATTGTCTACTGTTGCCTTTTCATCAGATCTGAGTGTTGGGGTAAAATCCCAAATACTAATGGTGGATCTGATGTCAAAATATTGAAGGTAATCAAAGTAGAGAGAGAGTAATGTTGAAATGATCTGCCCCATATGCAGGCGGAGGGTGTGGGATGCGGGTATAATGGAGTTTTGGGGGGTGGAGAATGGAGAAGGCACGGGTGTTTCATTGTATGACCAAGACTTTAACCCGAAAGGTTTGTAACTTCTCTCAGTTATTCAATAAATAAAATTATAAAAAATGAAAAAAACAGTAAAGTGGAGTTCATGCCCAATTCAATCAGCTAATCAGTGTCTGAATAAATAGCAGTACAACTCCATTAAAAAAGAAAAAAGAAAAAGAAAGGGATCATGCTTCCTTACTCCAGTTCAAATTCCAGATACGTTATATGGTTTCCCAAGCACCATCAAAAGTGATTCCTATGCACGAAACCAGGAGAATGCTCTGAGCACTTTAGGGTGGTATCTGCAACAGTAGCAAAATGGAGTAATCTGTATTCACTTGTCCTTTTCAATGTTGTTCTTGGGAATGGTACCTGGAGTATTTTATGATTTCTTTATAAATCTTTGTCATTAACATCTTGTTAGACAGGTGAGGTATGATAGTTTCTCCTTGTATATAGGATGTCTTTTTGTTTCACTGACATTTTCTTTGACCCTGGAGAAATTTCTTTTTTGATTCCAAAGACTCCCAAGTAATTTTTGCTTGTTTTTGTTTCCCTAGTTATTAGAATCAACTCTTCAAAGTTAAAGCTGAAGCCATATTTGTAAACTTTTTTTGTACTTTCCTCTTTGTGTTTTATGGCTTTCAGTGTTTTGTCAAAGTTTTCAGTAAATTTTCAGGTAATTTTTGTATATGGCGTAAGTAGCAGTCATTTCTGGGTTTTGTAAATCTATTTTCCCCAGCACTATTTGTTGAAGAGACTTTCCTCTCTCCATTATATATGCCTGTATTATCGTTGATCACATTGACCAGATTGGATGGCCTTATTTCTGGGTTCTAGGTTTTATTCCATTTGTGTGAGTGTATATGTAAAGTAAAGGTAAAGGTAAAGGCCCTCTCGTTGATCGTCGATTTGCTCGAGCGGGCCCAGTAACGTCTCCATTGGAGACTTTGTTGTTACTGTGTCTGGCATATCGAATACTCTCGGTAGCTTGCCGGGCTCTCTGAGAGGGGCGGAGGAATCGAACTCGGGTCGGCCATGTTGGCCGCTTGTAAGGCGAACGCCCTTACCGCTGTGCTATCGCTCCAGCCCAAGTGTATATGTATGTACGTATTTTTCTAATATTGTGTAATCTTAATGATCCTAGCCTTATTATATTGTTGTAGTTGGGAACAAGAATTTCCATTGTATCTTTCCTCAGAACTCCTTTGGCTAGTCAGGGTATTTTGTGATTTTTACAAATTTTAGTTAGGTTTTTTGGTGTCTTTGACACAGACACTATAATTTTTATAGGGATTGAATAGAATCTTTGAATTACCGTGAGTAAGGTGGCCAGTTTAACAATGTTAATTTTTCCTATAGATGTATAGTAACATCTTTATGCTTTTTCTTTACCTCCTCTTATTTCTTAGATCAATGTATTAATAGACTTTATACAGGTCCTTGAACTCTTTTATTACATTCGCTCCTTGTTTTCATCTTTATAAAGTATTTGATTTTGTGGCCACACCTGGTCATGCTCAGGGTTACTCCTGGCTTTTACATTTCGAATTACCCCTGATGGTTCTCAGAGGACCTTACAGAATACCAGAAATCAAATTCAGAGCAGCTGTGTAGGGGGTGAGCACCCTACCAGCCCTAATTCCTTCAGGTGCAAAAGAAGTTCTTTTAAAGCTTCTCTCAAAACTAGTTTCAAAACTATAAATTCCCTAAGCTGTTGCGTGTCCATGAAGCTGTTATGATTCCTTCATATCTCTGCGATAAGCTAACTAGATAGAGAACTCTTGGGGAAATTTTCATTTCACTGAGGTTTTGTACTATGTCCCTCCATTCTCTTCTGTCTTGTAGTCACATTTCAAATATTTGTTGTAAATCTTATGGGCTTTCCCTTGTCCATAAGATGCTTTTTTGATCTTGCTGATTTCAGTATTCTGTCTCTGAGGATTTTATCATATTGAGGATAATGTCTCTTGTAGTTTTTTTTTTTTTTGGAAAGGGAAGAGAGGGGCTCGGCAGGGCAGTATCATTTCACCAAAACTCTTCAGTGCCACACTTGAGAACATCATGCGACAAGTGGAATGGGAAGGAATGGAAGTGAAGATAGACAATCAGCAGCTATACCACCTCCGCTTTCTGATGACATCGTTCTTATAATGCCAAACATTAGCCAAGTGGCACAAATGCTCCCGACTTTGACCGTGTTTGTGGAAAGGTCGAACTACAGCTGAATCTCACAAAGACAATGTTTATGAGAAACAGTCTCGTTCCTGAGGTTCCATTCTCTCTCAACAGAATGAACATCTCTGAATGCAACATTTATGTATACCTAGGTCGAGAAGTCAACATGACAAACGATCTGGTACCTGAGTTGAGCAGGAGGAAGAGAGTGGCTTGGAACGACTTCAAGAGTGTGGAAGAAATAGCTAAGAGGATGAAGAACCTCTGGCTCCAGGCACATCTCTTCGATTCCACTGTTCTTCCTGCATTAACATATGCCTCAGAGACCTGGGCCCTGAGAAAACAGAATTAGAATGCTATTTGGGTCTCCCAAAGAGGAATTGAAAGAGCTCTGCTTGGAGTATCACGCTTCATTCAAATGAGAGAAAGAATCTGGAGTTCTGACCTCTGTCAACAGTCAAGAATCAGGGATGCTGTTTCGTTTGCTAACACGTCAAAAATCAGATGGGCTGGAAATGTAATGAGATTTGGAGACGACCACTGGACTAAAGCCATTACCAACTGGATTCATGGGATGTCAAAAGATTGCATGGCCGCCCACCTACAAGATGGTCACACTTATTCGTCAAGACTTCTAATGATCGGTTTGAGGCTCTTTGTGTGCCTAGAACAAGCAGACACCATTGGGCTACACTAGCACGCAACAGGGATGAATGGAGACTTAACTGGCGCCCACTTGAGGAAATCGATGAGTAATGGGATGTCATTGGATCAAGTGATCAAATAGTTTCCCTAGTTGAGAATATTTTCACTGGCAACCTTCATGCCTCTTGGATCTCAGTGCCTGTATTCAACTCTGAGAAATTCTTATCAATGATTTCTTTACCTAATATTTAATCATGAAATTTGCTTTCCTATTCTTCAGTGACTATGGTAATTCATATATTGTTTTTCTTGTACTCATCCTATAGTGCCATAGTATACCGTTTATTTCCTTTTAGACTATTCTCAACACTCCATTGTTTACAGCAGTTTTCTCATTTACTAGCAGTTTTCAGCTCCATCTAATTTTGGAGCTTCTTGATCTTTTACTCAGCTACAGTAATTCGGCTGTTAAGAGCTTCTCTTGAGGCTTTTTGTTTTTCAATGTAACTTACCATGCTCTTCATTCCTGCCATTTCTGAATGGAGGAGTTTTCTCATTTTGACTCTTAGACTTTCTTGGGCTTTGCTGAATACCTGTGCCACATATTCTTTGAGCTCATTACACATCTTAATCATGGTGGCACTAAAGTCACTAAGGATTTAGAGAGCTGGTTGTTGTTGTTTGTGTCTTCAAGGATATGATTTCCCCTCAGTGAACTGGGCCTTTATCATTGGTTTTCTAGTGTTCTTTCTATCATTGAGGGGGAGTCTTTGTAGATAGATACCCTGGAAGGTGCTGAGGTATTAGGCTGGGGATTGCTCTCTTTTCTGCCTCTCATCACTGAATGTCCTGAATTATAATGATGAGCAGTGTGTGATTTGCTGTGTATGTCTGCTGTGCAGTCACATAGGTGGCATGTGCTCCAGAAGCTGGGTTTGAGCCTGCTAATATAGCCCAGGTCAGGGGTAGAGGCTATTGGGACCTAGCTGAAAAGGAGGGTTCTGCCTCCCTTCCCAGAGTGGGTTTAGTTATTTCAGCCTGAGTCTGGTCTCAACTGCAATGGTGTCAATGTAAACAAAGTTCAGGTGTTGTCTCTAATAATTTTTCTATCCCGGTTTTATTAAGCACTTTTTTCATAAAAGAATGTTGAATCTCATCATTACTTTTCTTTCTCTCAATTGAAATATAGTTGTATGAATATTGTCTTTCTGTTGCTATGATATAGTGTTTTTTTCACTTTCATATGTGTAAAAGCAAACAAGTACATGATATATGATCCTAATAGTGTACTTTATTGAATTTCTTTGGCTAAGATACTGTTGAAGATTTTTAGGTCTGTGTTCACTATTGTTGGTTTATATTATTATCTTTAGGTTTTCTTCTTGACTGATTTTTAATTTACAGCACTGTTGCACTCAGAAATTGCGCATGAAAGTTCATTCTTTCCTTGACTTTATTGGTATAATTGCAAAGGGTATTCAGATATCTTTGAATCTTTTATAGATCTCACTGGTGAAAGTTTTGGAAACAGAATATCCTTTGGAATGAGATTTTTGTTTTCATTTTGGAGTGCATGCTAGAAGGACACCCTCCCAGTTACACTCAAGCTAATAGTATATACATGGATCATTCTAAGCAGTCAGGGTACTGTCTCAACCTTGTTGGAAAATGATAAGACATGCAAACAGAAAATTAAAGACTGCCTCGTATCTTTCACGTGGTGGAAAAATCATTAAAGGTTGGAGGTAAACTAGGATGTCCTATACTCAGGATTGATGACAGAGACACAGAAAAAAAGCTTGCTTGGCACCATGCCTAGGCTAGAGGATGTGTGGAAAGAAAGATAAATGAAGACACAGAGTAGAATTTAGGCCTTAAACCTTGATCACAGTTGAGAGGATGAATCATACCTCAGAGGAGGACTGGAAACTGAATGTTTTTTATTGGTTAATCAGGACAAATTTTGACATGAGAAGATTATTCTTCTCAAAATAAATTACAGCCATCAGTTTCTGACGTTTACATGACTTCCACAAGTATAGGGTACAGACACAGTTAAAGATATACTGGGGTTGTTAAATAGTTAGAAATGAATGTCTGTGAGTGAAACCGAGTGAAAGACTCTGTTTAACATACCTTCAAAGGAAAATATGATAATTACTTTGACTGTGGTGGGAGAAAGAAGTGGGAATTGTTCTGCTACATCTTTCCTTAACCAATATGGGATCGAAGAAAATTTGTTCCCTCAGACAATTTACTTAATCCCATCCAAAGAATTGATTTCTATAACAGAAACAATGGTAAACATCTTACCAGCTTTGCAGAGTGCCACGGAGATCAACTGTGTTATTGGACTGATAATTGTCCACATGCTTTCTCTCAACATCTAAGGGCTCAACAAATACTCAATGTTATTCTAATTATCTGAAAGCCTATGATTTCTGGTATATGCTGTGAAAACTTTTCCAACTGAATAAACTAATACCCAATTTTTCCCACAGGAAAAGCTCCAGAAAGCAGTCACAAAACTGAAATTCACAGAATCCATATATATGCAGCTGAAGCTTGATACAACTCAGAAAATAAGTAGTTGGGAGGTGAGAGTTTGAAGCTTCTTGTGGTCAAACTATATACTGTCATCTTCTCTAGAAGTAGGTTGTGCATGGTGAAAGCATTATGAGGGTTTTTCACTCAATAAGTGGTCCAGATTGTTTAAAGTAATTTTAGAAAGCACCATTTCCATTTACTTCTTTAGTTCTACCCATCTTTTATTTTTGCTATAAATGCTTCAACCTTTTGATAGCAATTATTTAGAATTCCCAGTATCTGAGTTGAAGAAATAGAAATATTGCAGTCTACTTAAAAGATCCTTGACAGGATTCAAATTCTCAAACTTTGAAAGTACCTATCTCTTTTGAAGCCTCAACTGCATGATTTTGATGCATTTACCACAGTGCAGCATCTGACACTTAAGCTTTCCAGCTTCAGAGATCAACTATTTGTGGAGACTTAGGAAGAGATTCATCTCATGAGATGCAATGAACTCCAGTTCTCCACATTAACAGTAATAAGGCTGTTAATGTGGAGAACTGGAACTACCACAAGAACAAACAAAAGACAACTACAGTGTATGGGAGTCTAGTTCAGTAAATAACCAGACTCCCAATGAATGGAAAGAGATTTGTTCATGAATACATTGATACAGTGCATTAGTCTGGAATATTATTACACTGACCAGTAAGCCATTTTCCCTCTTTCATGGTGTCTTAAATCTCCATTCTCATTCTTCATGTGCGAATCTCAAATAAGATCTCTCAAAAGATTGCCTTATGTTTTCATATCTGGGATCTTGAGTGGTGGGAAGATTGTCACAACCAAAAGTAAATAAATAAATAAATAAATAAACACCTTTCATGAATACATGGCTTGAAGCTAGGTCTACCTCCGACTTAAAAAAACAAAAAAAAATCACTCATTTATTAATTTTATAAAATTGGAACACTTCCTGAAATGGGAAAGTTAAAATGAATATTAAAATTCTAGTCCCCACCCCCTACCGGATAAAATCTCTGCCCAATCGATCATTTTCTTCTAGACATTCTCACACATTGGGGTGGTTAATTGAATCTAGGATTGATATTTCTAGTATTTATGATCAGAATCTGCAACTGTACGTCTCCCTTGGTGAGACTCATGAACTCTCCCGGGTGGTCATCTGCACGCCAGTCGTGATGTCTCAGTTGGAAACGTCAATAAGGTTCAAGAGGAAACTTTGAGGGTTTCTTCAACCAAAAGTTTACCTGAAACACAGGAACACATCTTTATATCAAAATAAGTAAAGTAAAAGTAAAGGCCCTCCCGTTGATCATCGATTTGCTCGAGCGGGCCCAGTAACGTCTCCATTGGAGACTTTGTTGTTACTGTGTCTGGCATATCGAATACTCTCGGTAGCTTGCCGGGCTCTCCGAGAGGGGCGGAGGAATCGAACTCGGGTCGGCCATGTTGGCTGCGTGCAAGGCAGACGCCCTACCTGCTGTGCTATCGCTCCAGCCCTGCAGCACAGCGGGTAGGGCGTCTGCCTTGCACGCAGCCAACATATCAAAATAAAAATACATATTTATTTTTATAACTCATATTTCATTTACTTTGGCCAAGCTCTATTCTGCATTTTATTCATACTACCTACATAAACTACTTGGTGTAAGGAAGAAATTTTACCAGAAAGCGCTGTAGCACTGTGTAGCACTGTCGTTCATTTGTTCATCAATTAGCTTGAGCGGGCACCAGTAACATCTCCATTGTGTGACTTGTTGTTACAGTTTTTGGTATATTGAATATGTCTGCATGGTTTTCCAGGCTTTTCCATGCAGGTGGGATACTCTCAGTAGCTTGCTGGCTCTCCGAGAGGGATGGAAGAATCAGACCTGGGTTGGCCACATGAAAGGCAAACACCCAACCTGCTGTGCTATCGCTCCAGCCCAGAACCATATCTAATTTTGACGACTTCTGTATGATAACATTGGTTTGTCCTTTCTCCCTTGCCACAGGGAGCTTAGGTTTTTTGGGTTACACCCATCAGAGTGCTCCCAAGTCACTCCCATTCCTCTGTTTATCTGTAGACTCTTCTCTGTGGTCTACTCCCCAGTCAGTTAATCACCATTTTTCTTAATCATATCCTGTAAGATCAGATCCTTTTAGGACATTTGTATTGTAAGTTAAATATTGCTTTTCTCGTCTTCTGCATAGTTGACCTTAAAGCAATGTCCTTTCAGTATGGACACGGGAAGCCAGTTAATATTATTATGATTTGTAACTTGGGAATTGCTTGACTCTGAATATTTACTCCTGGGCATCTGCTTTCTTGACTCAGTTGCCCTTAGTTCCTAGCACACCAAAAGCAGGGTCCCAAGGAGGGACTGAATGGACCCAGGACAAATTGTGAGCAACCCTGGCATCGAAATGGGACAGGCCAAAGCACCAAGATACTCAACAGTAAGTTGAGGGCATGATCATGGAGAAATGTTGTCATGATCCAAAAGTAACAACGAGACTAGGACCCTGCTGAGGTTGGGACCAAACCTTAAGTTTATATCTTTTAGTGTGCTCATACAGAATGATACTGCTAGAAATATTAGAAGCGATTTACTACAACTATTTAAGTGGTTTACTAGCTAAGGAATAACACACACTCTTGGGGTCCCACCCTTGAGCAGATCTCCTACTAATCTGGAATAGTCTCTTTAGATGAGATTTTATCCTTGAGTTAATCTCCTCGGAGGAGTAACATCTCCGAGTAGCATCTCCATTGTGTGACTTGTTGTTACAGTTTTTGGTATATTGAATATGTATGCATGGTTTTCCAGGCTTTGCCATGCAGGTGGGATACTCTCAGTAGCTTACTGGCTCTCCGAGAGGGATGGAAGAATCAGACCCGGGTTGGCCACATGAAAGGAAAACACCCAACCTGCTGTGCTATCGCTCCAGCCCAGAACCATATCTAATTTTGACGACTTCTGTATGATAACAAAGTGGGTTGAACATTAACAAATCAACAAAGAGAGTTAAGACCACTCCTCCTGTATGAGCAACTCTGGCACCCTGGCCTGTCCCATTTCGATGCCAGGGTTGCTCATACAGCATATCCATGGTGGTGGAAAATGGGCACTGGTGGAGGGATGGGTATCTGATCATTGTATAATTGAAACCAAAGCACAAAAAATTGTAAATCTACAACTTTAAAAAAAATAAAATAAAATAAAGGGGAAAAAAAAAAAAAAGTCTTCTATTTCTAAATATTTTAAAGGGTTGAATTAATCTCTCAATGATTTATCTTTAAGCACCTTCTATTATCATCAAAGAAAATAGTGCATATGGTATAATTAATAGTTTTTTTAAAAAGTTATATATTTATTTAGGTTTAAAAAATTTATGAACTGGCATCTGACTTTGCCTTTGGCTTCTCCCTTGCTTTATGTTCAATGATCACTCCTAATACTGCTCAGTGAACCATATGTGGTACACGGAATCCAACCTCAGACAGCCCAGTTTGAGGCAAGCATCTTACTCAGTATTGTAACTCACTGGCACTATTTGATATTTTTTTTAACTTCCTTCAAATTGACAGGTTGGAATTTTCCCAATCGTTTAGGTAATAGCAACTGAAATCGAACTCATTTGTGACTCAGACTAATGATAAGAACTGGTTGAAAAGAATCCTTATAATAAAGGGATTATTTTATTTATTTTTTTCCTTAAATTTTTATTAGTGAAACACCATGAGGTGCAGTTGTAGACTTAAAAATTTTTGTGTTTGGGTTTCAGTTATGCAATGTTCGAATACCCATCCCTCCACCAGTGCCCATTCTCCACCACCACCAGTCCCAGTATCCCTCCCACATTCATCCCCCCATCCCACCCTACCTCTATGGCAGGGCATTCTCTTTTGTTATCTCTCTCCTTTTGAGTGCTGTGGTTTGCAAAAGAGACGTTGAGTAGCGATACTGTCCGGTCTATAGTCTACTCTCATCACACGTTTTCCATCCTGAGAGGAACCTCGCAACAACTAAAGGGATTATTTTAAAGATGAGAAGTAGGGTAGAGAACTAGGAATAGTCCAGCACCCAAGGCAGGAATGGGTACACAACCATCATTGGCCTGGGCCTCAAGTGGCAGGTAGAGGGCGCTGTGAGGGTGGGAGAGTGTGACAGGGGAGAGGAATACAGAGCCTGCCAGTCAGCATGGGAGGGACATATGTCCTTCACAATGCTGCTTAGTTGCTTCGTGCCCCAGAGCCTTCTCCTCAGCTTCCAGTTAGTTGACATAAGCAGAGCCTTGCAGCACTGTAGCACTGTCATTTTGTTGTTCATCGATTTGCTTGAGCGGGCACCAGTAACGTCTCCATTGTCAGACTTGTTACTCTTTTTGGTTTTTTTTTTCCAATTTTTTTTATTAGTGAAACTCCATGATGTACAGTTGTACACTTACAAACTTTCGTACTTGGGTTTCAGTTATACAATGATTGAGTACCCATCCCTCACCAGTGCCCATTCTGCACCACCAATGATCCCAGTAGGCCTCCCAGCCCCCCAAACCATCTACCCCACCCTGCCCCACCTCTGTGCCAGGGCATTCCCTTTGGATCTATCTTTTCCTTAGGATGTTGTGGTTTGCAATAGAGGTATTGACTGACCATCGTGTTTGGTCTAAAGTCTACTTTCAGCACGCATCTCGCATCTCGGGGGTTGTCCTCCAAACACTCTTTACTTGGTGTTCCCTTCTCTGTCTAAGTTGCCTTTCCACAAACATCTGCTGCCAGCTTCCAACCTGAGGAGCAGACCTCCTGGTACTATTATCAACTATTCTTGGGTGTTCGTCTCCCATTCTGTTACTTCTGTTACTTTTTATTCACCAGATGAGTGCAGACTTTCTATGTCTGTTCTCTCTCTTTTTGACTCATTTCACTTAGCATGACACTTTCCACGTAGAACCACTTGTGTGCAAATTTCATGACTTCATCTTTTCTAACAGCTGCATAGTATTCCATTGTGTAGATGTAACAAAGTTTCTTTAACCAGGCATCTGATCTTAGGCACTTGGGTTTTTTCCAGATTTTGGCTATTGTGATGTATGTGCAGTAATGAACATACAAGTGCCAATGTCAATTCCACTGTACTTTTTGCCTCTCTGGGGTATATTCCCAGGAGTGATATTGCTGGGTCAAATGGGAGCTCAATTTCTAATTTTTTGAGAATTGTCATAACTGTTTTCCAAATGGGCTGAACCAGTCGGCATTCCCACCAGCAGTGAAGGAGAGTCCCTTACTCTCCACATTCACGCCAATGTTTGCTTTTGTTTTTTTGGATGTTGGCAAGTCTCTGTGGTGTGAGGTGATATCTCATTGTTGTTTTGATCTGCACCTCCCTGATGATGTTACTGTTTTTGGCATATGAATACACCACAGGGAGCTCTCCAGGTTCTGCAGTTTGGGAAGGATACTCTCTGTAACTTGCTGAGCTCTCTGATAGGGATGGAGGAATCAGACCCAGGATGGCCCTGTGCAAGGCAAATGCACTACTCACTGTGCTATCAACCCAGCACACTAAAAATTCCTATTCTCCCACTCACTTTCTAGAGTTGGGGTGCACCAAACGCTATTCTTACCTTTAGTTGGTAGTTCATACTTGCTCCAGGGATACCAGATGTATAATATCTCCAGGGGAAAGCCATGGACAGGCACCAACGGCTCTTCCCCTAGCCGCCAGTGTTAGGGGTGGGTCCAGGACACTCGTTCAACCGGGGCGGACCCTGTCATGGGACAGACGGAAGGAGGAAAGAAGGGCCAAGTTGGTTGATTTGCCAGGTCTAACTCGATGCCAGGGTAGCACATAGCGTCCTTCTTGCCCTGGTTCCATCCAGTCCCTCGAAATAGGTAGAGAGAGATAGGAAAGAGAGCCCAGGTGATGTGTTCACAGAGGTCCATCGTTCAGGAAGAGAGACAAGTGGGAAAAGTGGATAAAGACAAGCAGGGATTTGAGGAACACTGAGAACATCCAGTACAGGAAGTATTTCCACAGAGTGGATTTAAGTTACCTGGAAAAAAATCCAACTCCTTGTGCTTAACTTGGTAACACAGTGAGTGGTTGATTTTTTTTTTGAGTGGTTACAAGAGTGATTAACATCCTAGTGCTCAGAGTCATAATACCTGGTTTGATGTTTGTCTTGTACACAGTCCTAGGTTCGATCACCAGGTCCCCTAAGTGCAATCAGAAGTAAGTGCTGAGTTAGAGCCAGGAGTCACCCCTGAGCATTGCCGGGTGTGGCCCCCAAAAACCATGAAACAAAATATTCTATTGATACATTTAACTTTAAATTTTTGATTTTAAATTAAAAGACACACTTAAGTTTATCATATATTTTTCTATTTTTGTCAAGGATGATCATGTAGCTTTCATGTATATTGACCCTAGGTTTATTAAATTTTGATAATTTTTATAGAATACTGTTATTTAACATAAGAGATTAGAGTAAGCTCTAATATCCATGGAACTAAATATGTTTGTGTCCTGGGAGAATTCTAGGTCTTTAATCACAATCTATGTTATTAGTTGTCTTTTTTAAATTTTCTGATGCAGAATTTGTAGTTGCTAGTTAGAGATGGACTAGTCTTATTTCTGTTTCAATATTCCATAATTTCTCAAGAAGATAATGGGTTTTGGAAATGACAGAGCCCATGTAAATTCTGATTGATTATATTCTTAGGTTTTATAAGCTAGAGATAAGGATGATGGTTATATATTACTAGGTACTTTTATTACTCACGGAGTTTCCATTTCTGAGAAATAACTGTTATTACTCAGGTACTTCCCATTAATGAGACATTTTAATAAAAATTGTTATTTAGTTCACTCAGTCTTTCCCAATAGTCTCTAGTGACACACATAGAGATTACACGGATTTTGCAAACTGAAACTCAAAATGATTCTTAGATAATAAGAACAGAACTTTGGTATGAAATAGACTAGCTTTATTTTATAAAATATTCTAAATATTAACACATGTTAGGAAGAACACTGACACTAGTGGTGGGTTTGGAGTTAAGCATTGAATACCCAAAGCTGTTATCCTTAGCTCAATAAACTGCAATGAATAAATAAAAAAGGTTTTTTCCTTTAAAAAATAAATCTGGGGGTCAGATTTAAATCTGGGGGTAGGCTATTTGCCTTGCACGCAGTCAACCCAGTTTTGATCTCAGGAATCCCCCCTGGTGCCCCGAGCACAGCCAGGATTCTTTTGTGAGCACAGAGCCAGGAGTAACCCCTGAGCATAATAGCTTGTGATCCAAAAAAAAAAAAAAAGAAGAAGAAGAAGAAAAAAAGAAGAACAAGCAGGTCTGGTGGAGCAGAGATCGGGATAGAGTACCCATAATTTGTTCCCGCCAGCCCACCCGGAGTGATCTCTAAGCCC